TAAGGCCAACTGATCAGGAGATGATTGTCACTGAAAACACCATTTATTACTCACAGTTCCCAAGGCAAAGAGAGGCACACCATGCAGGGACACACTAGGGAACCCTAGGTCAGTGGAAGGCAGAAGGTGGAGAGAGCTAGGGAAACTGGAGTGGAAAGCCTTTGCTATGGCTTTCTCCTGAATGAATGGGCAAGGCAAGGAAGCAGGTTTAGGATGGACTAGTTTGAATAATTTTATTGAGCTGAGGTCTATTGGGGCTGCTCTTAGTTGTCTGATGCCTAGGCCTGTGGTGATTAGGGCAGTGTAAGAGCCAGGTAAGGCCATGGGATTGGGGGAAAGGTTTGGGTTGGTTTGCTTGCATGTGAAATGTGCCCTTACAGGCGAGTCATTCATTCATTATCTCTAAGAATCCCATAACCCTGGGAGGGGCAGTTCTTCCTTGTCAGCAACGCCCTAGGTATCAAAGCAGAAGATACAGAAGTTAGAAAATGTGGTTAAAATAGTCTCTCTTATATCCTTTGTTTCTTGGCCAACCATCACTACAAAGAATTATAGACATTTGGACATTTTTAACTGGGCACATGCAGGAGGCAGCCAATTGATGTGTCTCTCTCACATCAATGTTTCTCTCTCCCTGTCTCTGCCCCTCCATAACACTGTCTAAAAGTCAATGAAAAAATATTCTTGGGTAAGGATTAACAACAACAACAACACACATATATATGTAATCTGTAACCTAGACCTGTTCTGTCTTTCATAGCACTGCTTTAGGAGTTCAGGCCAGTCATTTCATAGAATGCCCACAAGCTTGATTTGAATGATTCTTTCCCCATAGTTAGACTCAGGTTAAGCATCTGGGAAAGAGTATTCCATAGGTGATGTGAACTGAGAGTAGCATGTCACTGCCCTCTCTTTTTTCTTTTTCTCCCAGTTGTCACCTGTCCGTTGCAGCATATGTCCTGAAGCTTGGTCTTCTGCATTTGATGTCTCTTTCCCCTCTTACATGTACATTAAAGTTTGTGGTAATCTCTGCTTCCTAGTACTTTAGATGTGTGATCGAGTTGGTTTTATTAATCTTAGATTTGAGGGAGGTATGTGGTATGATTAGGATTTTTAAATGGCTACAGTTATTCTATATGAAACTGGAATTCCTTGATTTTAACTATTTTTATGGCTAAGATACAAAAATGTCTGACTTTCAAATGAAGTTTTCATTTAAACCTGATGACTCCTATAATCAATAAGCAAACTTGGGGTGAGCCTTCAGTACCTTTTGAAGGATATTATGTCATTTGTCCCTACTCTCAATAGCTTCTAGCCAGCATATTCTTTTTGAATCCTGGGGCTTCTTTGCTTTTCTATAGCCTTTCTCTTTCCACTTGCAGACCAACATTAGTCATTTCTCCCATCCACACCCCATTGTCAATGCATTGCTTACTAAACCCTGCCCACTTTATTCTCTACTGTGAATGGAGAATTGAGAATCTATTTATTTTGCTTTTAAATATATGTATTTTTTTATTTCAGAGAGGGAGAGGGATAGAAACATTGAGAATCCTGGACCAGCTGCCTCCTGCACACCCTCTACTGAGGATTGAGGCCGCAACCCAGGCATGTGCCCTGACAGGGAATTGAACCACAACCTCCCGATTCATAGGTTGACGCTCAACCGCTGAGTCGCAGAGGCCTGCCAGCCCGGCTCTGCTTTCTTAACTTGTTTTTATGTAGAGGCTGCACATAGTATGTACGTCCTGTCCCTTGTAATTTTAGTAAATATTTAGGCTTCAGCTATTCACACTGGTTTGGGCCTTATCGAGAATTGAGAATTTAGATAATGCATCTTGTTACACTTGGGTATGACCATTAGAATAAACCAAGTGAGAGCCTGAGGCCTCTTGGAGCTTTATTTAGAGCTTAAATTTTCTCAGAATGTCTGCTTGCTGGTTAAATAGCCCTTCTGCTTTATTTCCAGTTTTGTTCATATATTCTAGTAAATAATCTGAAAAATTATGTTTTACCTAATGATAATGAGGGCAGCACAGTGTTAGAGCAAAGGTGTCTCTAGAACCAGATTCTGTGGGTTTAAATCCTAGTTCCACTGCTCACTGGCTACATAAATTTACTTAATTGCTTAATCTCTCTGTACTGCCATTCCTCATATATAAAGGTGAAGATAATAGTATCTTTTTCACAGATTTTGTGAAGATTAAAAAGTATAATACATGATATGTATAGTGTTCTTGGTCTTGATACATTATTGCTGTTACAGTTAATATATTAATAACAATGTGTGGATATTCATTCTGCACAAGGAGCAGTGACCAACTGTTAAAGTAAGCAGGACCTAAGACATTTAGGATAATTTATTTGTGACCTACCTTCCACCTACCACCCACACTTCTCACCCCATCCTGAAATTAAAATAAATTTAAATGATAATTTATTAGATCTTTGAGCTTTCCATTGAGAAAACATAGTATTTTTAAATCTTACTCATTTGTTAGAGGTATGGTTTAAAAGGGACAATTATAATTAAATACCTGAGGGATGTTAATTTCAAAGACATTAAAGCACTTTTTTTGTTTTTTATAGAGATGCACATCTAGCAATGAAATTACATTGTGTGGAGTCATGTGACCACTAGAGGTCATGTTATACTTTTATATTACTTAAAAATCTTTCTTGCTGGTATGTCTGTCAGTGAAGCCTACTTCAGACAGATAGGAAGAGTTCATTATTGCTTCCTGCAAAAATACAGCTTGGAAAAAAAGAAACCCAAGCTGGACAGTTACACATCATTATGTATCATGGTTTTATGTTTGACAGTTTATTATTCTACTATTTGTGCAGTGGGCGGAGAGGTGGGGGGGTCCCCCCTCAGTCCAGCCTGTAACCTCTCACATTCCAGGACCATTCAGGAGATGTCTGACTGCCAGTTTAGGTCTGATCCTGCAGGGATCCCTGTGGATCGGGCCTAAACTGGCAGTTGGACATTCCTCTCGTAATCCAGGACCGCTGGCTCCTAACTGCTTGACTGCCTGCCTGATTGCCCCTAACCACTGACCTGCCTGCCTGATCACCCCTAACTGCCTCTGCCTGCCTGATTGCCCTTAACCCCTCATCTGCCTGCCTGATCGACCCTAACCACTCTGTCTGCCTGCCTGATCGCTCCTAACCACCTCTGCCTGCCTGCCTCATTGCTCCTAACCACCTCTGCCTGCCTGTCTCATTGCTCCACTCGCCTGCCTGCCTGCCTGATCACCTCTAAGCACTTCCTGGGGCCAGCTGGGGCAAGGGCCATGGTTATTCTGATCATTCTGCCATTTCGGTTGCTGGGCTTTTATTATATAGGATAGAATTGGTTAGCAAATTGACTTGTATTATTGAACTTAACAATGAGATCTTAGTATTTGAGTTAGAAATAGAAACTTCTTACTCTCAGCCACAGAATAATTTGCATTTATTGAAATGATGTTTGAATGATTACATGTAGGTGTAGAATCATATGAATATTTTTCTCACATATTTTTATTAATAACAGTAGGAATTTGGAGGATTACCTACTCAAAAATGACCTACAAAAGTTACTTTAATTCTCTGGGCTTTCAATTTCCAAATATATAAAATGTGAATAATAGCTATAACAGTATTAAGTACTGTTTATAGTTAGTCTCAACACTTAAGTGAAAGCTGTATGCAAATTATAAAGTGGGTTATTAGATAATTGCTGTTGATTTTGGCCCACTGAGGAGCATTGTTGGAAAGATTATAGGATCCTCTGAATTCCTATCTTCTCTTTTCTGGTAGAATATATTATTAGTTTATATTTACTTTTCTGAAATAACCATGGTGGCTCATAGTGGCTAATTTTAGTAGGGCTGCCTTTAAGATACTTAGTTCAATGAAGGCCTGGGGAGAGGGTGGGAGTGAGGAGGAGGGAAAACAATGGAGGAAAAAGGGGACATCTGCAATATTTTCAACAATAAAAAAGATACTTTATTTTAGAAAATATTCTAAATATTAACTTGCAGCTGTGTGGAAAATTTATAGATGTGGAGTTCATTCTGCTGTGATGCTTGATGTTACTACTTTTTAGTTACAGTCTTAAGTGTGGAACTGCTCTCTGGCTTTAAAAATGGGTACTGATTCCTGGTAGTTCCACATTTTGATAGGTCTTGCAGAGCTAATGGATTTAATTGAATTTAGGTATTACTGAAGTCTGCTTTTACCTATAATTTTGGTTGTGATGTGGGTAGTAACCAGAAGATGGACTAAGTAATTTTCCTAAATTGATGCTTGAAATGTTGTCATATGAATCAGCCAGAAATTACAAAGGTAATCTGAACTATTGTTGTTATAGCCATGCAATTTTAGCATTTGAAGTGCAAACAGTTTTTAAACGTTTGTATGCAGAAATGATTGTGAGCATAAGTAGAGCACTATTGCCTCAAACACAGAAAGCAAATATACAGTATATATTAGATAATAGTCTCTTCTTCACTGTAAATATTTGATTGTCTCTGCTTCCTCTCCTACCTTCCTGTTGTCTTAAGTAGTTAGTGCTGTTGGCTCCAGAGCTCAAACGCAGGTGGGTCTGCCTGACTCTAAAGCCTGTAGTCCTAACTTTTATACTTACTAGACTGCTGCTTTTAAAAGCTGTTAGTCATCATAACCTACACTGTATTTACTGTATTTGAAATGTTTTCTAATAAAAATATATTGAATAGATTTTTTCTAATTTTATGAATATTATTGATAAGAATCCCCACTAAATGTCTGCCTTGAATGGAAACTATCATGTAGGTTTTGGAATCTGTTAGATTGCAAGCTTAAGTCTCTGCTCAGCCATTTATTTTTCTCTGAATTGGGGCAGGTTTTTTAATCTCTGAGTTGTTTTGTTTTTTTTTGTTCAACGAGGACAATCATGGTTTGTTGTTGTTGTTATTGTTGTTCTTTGGGGATGTGGCTGTATTTGAAATTTTTATTTTTTCCCACTGTAGATTACAGACAAAAGAGTGTCCAGAAGACATGCGATTCTTGAGGTGGTGGGTGGTCGGCTTCGAATCAAACCGGTAAATACGTTAATGATACATTTTAATGTTTTGTCTCTCACCTTTTTCCCATCTTCATATCAGAAGGGCTTATTTTTTAAGTTATGGAAGTAGGAAATTAATGTCAAAACATATCCTTTTTATTGCCAGAAGATAATTGGGAGATAAAGATCAAACTATTTACATTCTTTCCTATAGGGCAGTGTTACATTTACACAGGATTTTAATGAAAGATGACTACCAATTCACGTGTACATGATTATTTTGTTCATGACGGGGTATTACAAATAAGATCCTATAAAAAGCTCATAACTAAAGGGGGTAGGGTAGTGACCAAAGTCACTTTAAGTGTTATAGAGTTATATTTTAATAGATTTCTATATCTCTCTGTGTAGAGTTGAATATTTCTAAAATTTAGACCTTATTCAACTTTAGGATTTTAAAAATAATTGTAATTTGAAAGTTCCTGTTAAGGGCTAGAATTTTAATTACTTGCTTTTAGTTTAAGCACTGATATGTTGTAGGGAAAGCAGGTTCTGAGAATATACTATGTGATCATTCCTTTTCATTTGCAGACTCTATTGTATAGGAGAATAAAATATGTGTATGAGGGTACATTTATTTTAGACTTGATGCTGGGGTGTTAAAATTATTAATATGGAATGAATTTCATTAATTTATAACATTTAAAAATCTACATGTACATCTTAATATGTATAACTTCCTGTGTTTTTTTTTTATTAATTCTTTCTTTTATACAGATAGTACTTTTATTATCCTATGTTGAACTATTCCCAAATTTGAGAAGTATCCTTTTAATTCTAGATTGGGAAAATTTTTGAATACCGATGAATTCACACCACCTCAACCTTAAATAAATACTTTTAAAGAAAGTTTATATCTCATTCTACATTTTCTTAGTGTCTTGAAAAGTGCTAATATCTGTAGTCAGCATTCTGGGGGTGGGAGCTGACCTTTATCTACCATCAGTTTTTGTCTTTGAGTCCAATGATCTTTCTCTTCATAGTGAAACTTCCTAGACCTTAAGCTTGTTGAATATAGGAACACTAACTTAGCTTTCTATCTCTAGTATCTAGCATAATGCCTAATGCATAATAGATAGCTAATATTTATTCAGTTCATGAGTATATGCTGCAGTGAGAACTATATGTGGCATTTCTAGGAGTGGGAATATCATGGATTTTCATAAAAGTACTAGAGGCCCGGTGTATAAGATTCATGCACTGGGGGCCCAGCCTGCGCCCTCTCACAGTCCAGGACCCCTCAGGGGACATCCACAGAAGGACCCTTAGTGCTGCTGCAGAGGCAGGAGAAGCTTCCACAACGGTGACCCCGGCTTCTGGCTGAGTGGTGCTCCCCCTGTAGGAGCACACTGACCACTAAGGGGCAGCTCCTGCATTGAGTGTCAGCCCTTTCATGGTCAGTGCGCATCACTTATTCACCTCATTCTCATTACTTTAAAGATCTTTAAAACTTGTATTAACAAAGTCAGTTTTTAAAAAGAACAAAAAAAGGTCAGTTTTAGAATTTCTGTATATTTCTCTAAATTGCACCTTGTAGTGCAGCTGCAATAAGTAGATGAATAAATAAATAAATCTATTTCAAGGGAATAGGTATTTTATTGAAACTATTGTATATAAGAAAAGGCTAATATGCTTCTCCTGCCTCTGCAGCAGCACTAAGAATGGCAGAACGACCATTCACTAGGATGCACAATGACCACCAACGCAGGAGCTGCCAGCTAATCTCTCAGTCCCTTCCCTCAGTCCCTTCCCTGATCACCGGCTGGGGAATGGGGAGCTGGGGGTGGGTGGCAGCAGATGCAGGCAGCACCAGGGCCCTGATCGCCCCACTGGTCACTCCACACACAGAGGGCAAACAGTGGCAGCAGGGGTCAGGGCTGGCAGCCAGGGAAGATCAGCCCTGATTGCAGGCCAGGCCTAGGGATCCTACCTGGGCACGAATTTTGTGTACCAAGCCTCTAGTCCTATATAATAAAGGCTAATATGCAAATCAATTGAATGGTTACATAGCTATGTAAAAATTGTATGATGTATTTTTTATTTTTATTTATTTTATTTTTTAAAAATATATTTTATTGATTTTTTTACAGAGAGGAAGAGAAAGGGATAGAGAGTTAGAAACATCGATGAGAGAGAATCATCGATCAGCTGCCTCTTGCACACCCCCTACTGGGGATGTGCCCGCAACCAAGGCACATGCCCTTGACCAGAGTCGAACCCGGGACCTTTCAGTCCGCAGGCCAATGCTCTGTCCACTGAGCCAAAGCAGTATCAGCATGTATGATGTATTTTTGTCTTCATTTGGTTATTGATCCTCAAAAAATACATCTTTGGGTGATTGTGTTTTTTCTATTGCACAATAAAATTCTTGAATTGTGATTGTTTTTCTTCCCATAAAATTATGAGTGTACTTGTAAAATAGTATACAATACTGCAATAGCTTTTCCGCAACTTTTGTAAAAGAGAATGCTTTAAAAAAAAATAACAACACTGAAAATGAGAGGAACCTCTTTTTTTGGGTACAAATCAATCTTTCTTTAATACTATTTGATGATAACTCCAAGAGTAAGCTATAGAAAATTGACTACATTTTAGTTCCATTTATTCAGGGATAATGTATCTTTTGTACCACTTATACAATAATAGCATCTATTTAAGCTCACCTTTATATCGATAATCCCAGGGATATGTTAAAAGGCACACAGCAATGATATGATTCTGATATGGGCAGTTCATATCTTTCATTCACTTGGGCTTCTGTTTGCCTTCCTTGTCTGCTTGAGGAATCAAAGTTAAACTAACCTTACTGAAGGAATTTGAGAGACTTCCATCTTTTTTAGTCTTGGAAGAGTTTGAATATTCAAAAAATTCTTTAAAACTTAGGTCTGGTTTTCAGAGGGATTCGAAAGGTTTTTAATTATTAATTGTATTTTTAAAATATTATACATCAAATTCAATCATCTTTTCTTTTAAAAAAATACATATTTTTTTTACAGAGAGGAAGGAGAGGGATAAAGAGTTAGAAACATCGACGAGAAAGAAACATCGATCAGCTGCCTCCTGCACACTCTCCATTAGGCATGTGCCCACAACCAAGGCACATGTCCTTGACCAGAATTGAACCTGGGACCCTTGAGTCCGCAGGCCGATGCTCTATCCACTGAGCTAAACAGGTTAGGGCCATCTTTTTATTTTTATAGTTACTTTTTAAACAAGCTACCCCATACACACATAAACATACATTTTTTAAAAGTATGGTTTATATTCTTAAAGATAATTGTCAATTTTGGCGTAAATCTATTGGCATAAAATATTTATAATATTTTACTGTATTATTGTTCACAAGTCTTCCTTTATATGTAGTTATGTCATTGTTTTTCTCCAAATATTTTGTATGTACATGTGTATGTCTTCTCTCTTTGTGTTTATTACTGTTAGATTTTTAAAAAACGATCTTTTGAACTTCATGTGTGTCTTTTTAGTTGGAGTGTATTTAGTTTGACATTGATTTTAAAAATGTATATTGATTTAGGTATAAGTTACAGGATCAACCATTAGAGTTCTTGGAATATCACTTTTTGCTCTTAGTTCTGGGATTCCCTGTATGAATAGTTTTAGGAAAAGAAAAAGATGATTTTTCTGCTTTCTTATGGCTGAATTTGCTAAGTGCTTGATATTCAACCTCCTAAAATTTAAATAAGTGCTTCCACATAAGGAAAAAAAATACTCAAACTGAAAGTTTTCTTGACTTTGGGTTTTTGATGCATTTTTAAAAAAATGTATCTTTATTTTTGAAAGTATTACAGATCTCTCCCCATTTCCCTCCTTTGACCCTTATATCCCTCCACTCAGTCCCCAGCCAAATGTAATTAATTTCCTCTTAAAAGTATTTTACGTTTTCTACTCTTAGAATTTTACACCTTGTATTTAATATCTTAGCCTTTGTAAACTTAAGACTATACCATTATCTAATGTTTAGAGATTCATCTGAATTTCTAAAATATTCATGAATAAGAACATGATCATATCTTATAAGAGGCAAACCTCACTGAATGAATGTTCACTGCTCTAGAAGAAGCTAATCTACATTGCTGCTTTGACTCTTGTCCCTTCTGCTACCCAACATTCCTAACTCTGGTGACCATGGCATACCCAAGGAAGGAGGGCTTCCCTCAAAAGGAGTGATTTTCAAGGAGTAATAGGGAGTGATTCTAAGCCCGGCAGTGTGCACAAGCTCAGAACCTGGTGGCTTGTCATGCCTTGTTGCACTCAAAATCTCTGGGCAGAGAGCCACTTTGGGAGGGCTGACTGCTAGCATAATGAAAGGTTTCTAAACATTAAGTTTAAATTAGAACTTGATTTTGAAAAATGAAACATTCACAACTCTTTTTAGGAATATGGGGCATCACTGCATTGCCATTCTTATGTAGTTTTGTGCATGTTTTGCAAAATAAAATAATTGCCTACCTAATTTGTATAGCCTGTGTTTTAAAATTTTACCTCTATTCCTGATCTCCAATTTTTATTTTACTGCTTGCTTTTAACACAGATTTAAAGAAAATACAAATGTTTTCAATTGCAGGTTTACCAATAGATCTGATGGCCAAATCCTCATGAAATTAAATTGCCAGGACTAGGTAGATTATATTCATTCTAAATTTCAACATTGTCTTTTTCCCCCCCTTAAATAAAATTTGGGCATATAGGTAACAATGCTTAGTGTTTTCCAATAACACAGTTTTGGTTGCATTGCTTCCTGTTCTATATTAGTATCTCCCCAACCCCAAACTTTGTTAAACATACTGTTTGGACAGTTCAGGTTTTTTTCTTTACAAGTTGAGCTAAATAGTTTCTAGGTTTCTTTCCCCAAATTCCATGGTTCTGTGGTTAGTTTAAAAGTATAATGTTATGATAATTGATGAAGTTATACATAGTGAGAAAGTTACTTGGGGGGTTTTGAAAGCCAATAAGCTTATATGCCTAGCTGCTTGCTATTGGGGGCTTTTTAGAAGATGAAAGTGATTATTGTTTAAAAATTTATCTTATAGAGAATGGAATTGAAATGATTTTAGTGGTGAATCTATTTAAGTGACGCAACAGGTAGCGTTTTTAGTAAATACATTAGATTTTAAGCCTCATTTCTTATAATAAACTCTTTGGAACCATTCCTGATATTATTCTCTAATGACTGGTTGTCGAAATATTGATTCTTCCTGCTATTAGAGACTTCAGTGGTAGGTACAGTTATATGCAGCCACGGACCTGACAGTCTAGTGGTGATTTATCAGATGATTATAGGCAATCTTTAAACTTACAGGGACTGATCAAACAATTCATGCAGAGAGGTCTGATGGGATAAGACATCTCAGGCTGTAGTAAATCAAAGAGCATTTTGAGTAGATAGATATCCATGATTGGATCAAAGATTCTATGTGTGAATATTTGGGCGTATGAAGGTGAGAGATGAGTTTGGAAACCACAGGTTTATGAAGAACCTTCACTGCTGTGCTGTGTTTATATTGGGGAATCATCAGAGGCTTTCACAGAGAAATCTACAAGAATAACGGGATGCAGTGAGGTAAATGCAGACAGGAGACTTGATGTGATGTCAGCTCAGGCTAGAAATGCGAGCAGTGGGTGTGAACTTGCACTAGGGAATGACTGTGTAAATGGCAATGAGAAGTGGATTCAAGAGATAGTTCAGAGGTTTTGACATTTGTATGGAGTGGGAGAACATTGTAATATGTTCAGGAAGTGTGGATATTTTGGTGTGTTTTAATATATAACAGAAATTAAAATAGAATATATCACATTTATCCCTGAAAGATCCTATTAGGTCTAGTAATAATTAATGTCGTTTTCTAATACTTTTTAAAATCGAATTTATTTAAACAATACAACAAAATTTAATCAACAATATAGTTGCCGTTGTTTTCTACTACTTGTGCCCAACACTCATGAAGCATTTTAATCCCTCTGTTGTAAAATTCTTGTGATTTTGATGCAAAAAATTCGGTCAATGCATTTTTGAGGCATTCTTCATTATTAAATTTTTTTCCAAGAAGAAAGTTTTGCAAAGAACGAAACAAATGGTAATCGGAAGGGGCAATATCAGGAGAATATGCAGGTTGAGCGAGAACTTCCCATTCCAACTGGCACAGTTTTTCAGCAGTGATTCTTGCAGTATGCGGTCATGCGTTATCGTGGTGAAGAATTACGCCCTTCCGATTAATCAGCGCGGGTTCTTTTTCTCTTAAAGCTTGGGCTAACCTTTCCAATTGGGCACTATACACTGCACTTGTAATGGTTTGGTTAGATGGTAAAAGTTCATAATGAAGAATTCATTTAAAATTCCACCAAACACACAACATCACTTTTTTCCGCATGCAAGTCAGGTTTTGGCGTGGGCTGCGGAGCCTCATTTTTGTCCAACCATTGAGGCCGCCTTTTCAAATTAACATACAGCACCCATTGTTCATCTCCGGTAACAATTTGCTCTAAAAACGGCAAACGGTTTTGACGAGAGAGGAGCGAACTGCAAATTGTGACTCTTTGATTATGGTTGTTGTCGGTCAACTCATGAGGAACCCATTTTCCAAACTTTTGGACTTTGCCAAGTGCACGCAATTGATTGGAAATTGTTTTTTGAGAACAATTTAAAGTTGTCGCAAGCTCTTGTTGGGTACCGTATTTTTTGGACCATAAGACACACCGGATCATAAGACGCACCGATTTTTAGAGAAGGGAAATGAAGAAAAAAAGATTCTGAAACAAATAGTGTCCTAAAATATTTTATGTGCATTAAAACCCAACATCACAGTCATAAACACATGTAATAAACCCTGTAAAGTAAACAGCAGCATTTAGAACCATTTTAGAGCCGGGCAAGCACACAGAGACCACACAGAGCTGGGCAAGTAAAAAAACTTTTTTTTTTAAAGTATATGTGTAGGCTATATTTGGACCATAAGATGCAGGGACTTTCCCCCCCCCACTTCTGGGGGGAAAAAAGTGTGTCTTATGGTCCGAAAAACACGGTAATTTGAGGATTTTGCACCAAAAGAGCTTGAAGAGCTTCTTGATCAAAATTGGACACACGGCTTCGACCACTCTTGTCATCTAACGAAAAATTTCCCTCACGAAATTTCTCAAACCAACGCTGGCATTTTCTGGCGCTAACTGCATCTTGACCAAGAGCACTACAGATGATTTTTGCAGCCTCACTTGCTTTTCTTCCTAATTGGAACTCGTAAAGCATGCAGTGCCAAATATGCTCTTCATCCGCCATCTTCTTAGCCCCAGTTTTGCAATAAAAACCAAACCAAACACAAACTTTTTCAAGCAAAACTTGTTAATTTCACTTCACACGTTCTGTAGATACCACGTGTTTGAAGGTTATGTCAATACAAGTCAACGCCAAGCAAGATTTTAAACGAATGTTTAAAAACGACATTAATTATTACTAGACCCGATATTTCTATTCTGGAGAATAGGCTTTTTAAAAAATAAAAGCAACTGAAAAATAAGTTATAATGCAAGTGGCTTTCCAATATTAAGTTAATGATATTATTTGCTTCATGTTTTATCACAACATTCTAGGCTTGTTTATATTTTACTTAGTTTATATAGGCTTAACATTTTTAAAAAATGAAATATTAAGTTAATGATATTATTTGATTCATGTTTTAAAAAATGAAAGTGAGTATATTTAATAAAAATTTTAACCAAGTTTACCAATGAAAAAAAAATTGTTGTGGAGTAAAAAGAAAAGAAAAGATACATTTCTAGAATTTCAAAATACATTAAAAATAGGCCTATTATAAACTTCCTTAATTTTCCTATAGTGAATATATTTTATAATAGGAACAAAAGTTTTTACCTACTGTATTTATATTGAATTCTCATCTATTAAAATTCGGGATGAATAAAACATACCTTAACACCTTCAGATGTTTTTAATGGTTGGGATCAGAAAAGGTTTTAATGTATGAATATATAATTGTATCTCAAGATACTTTAATGAAATATAAATAGAAAAACTGGAAATGTTCAGCCCAATCCTTGGGTGGTAATTACCTGTTATATTAGAGAGGCTGTTGATGTCACTAGAAAGTCTCACTTAAATTGATGAAGCAGATGGATGGATGGATGGATGGATGGTAAGGGGAGTTGCTTTTATTCTATTAAAAACAACAACAACAAAGATCTGCATTAACGTAGATTGCTTTGTTACACAATAAAGCTTATTTATTTTAAAAACTTTATCATGTTGATAACAAAAAGGCTATTTGGCTTTTGGAAATAGCCACTTTCAGCTTGATTCTAGTTGGAATTTTTAAGGTGTCTTTCAATAGGTCTTAGTTATGAAGGGAACTTCATTATCTTTAACATAGAAGCTTTTGGTGGCAAACATAATTCAAAATAATGGATATTATAATAGTTTTGACATTAAGATATATTTACTTCTTGCAATTTGAATATGAATGATAACCTCATAGTAGGATTTTATTCAAACAAAATAAGATTCCTCCATGAGAGGCTTAAACACCCCCCACACAGCCCCCCAAAAAAAACAACAGTTATATGTTTGCTTGAGAGATAGGATCAAAATTTCCCTTCTCATAGTTTCCCTAAAAAAATACATTTTGTTGATTTTTTACAGAGAGGAAGGGAGAGAGATAGAGAGCTAGAAATGTCGATGAGAGAGAAACATCGACCAGATGCCTCTTGCACACCGCCTACTGGGGATGTGCCTGCAACCAACGTACATGCTCCTGACCAGAATCGAACCTGGGACCTTTCAGTCCGCAGACCGACGCTCTACTGAGCCAAACCGGTTTCAGCAGTTTCTAAATTTTTAATCATAGTAAAAAATTATTAAGGAAAATAAGTGGAAAAGAGGCTAGCCATTTCCAGGGGATTGGTGAATTTTGGATCTCAAAGTAAAAGGAGTAAGTTTCCATGCTGGAGAAATTTTTTTCAAGTTTCTCTTTTTAATTTTAATTTACCTCAAGCAAATTAGAGTATCTTTTAACCAGTTAATTGATAACTTTATTTTTTATTCTTAGAGAAATGGGAGGTATATTGCAGCTCTTTTTGTATGATTGGATAAGAGTTATGGTACTTATAAGTTCCAGATTTATTAGAATTTTAAGTTTCTTATACACCTAAATTATTATGATATTAATGCATCAGTTCATATCATTAATGTATCAGTTCATTATTATATTATACATTAGTTCATATTCAGTTGTATTTTTTCATAATTTTGAGTTACAATATCATTGTATTCTTTCTTTGTTAGATACACACAAGTCCATGTTTTTATCAGTCTTCTGAGAAAAGTCAGTTCTTACCATTGAAGACAAATCTATGGCACTGGTTGAACCCTGGAGATAGTTTTTCTTTGTTTGTTGACAAATACATTTTCCGTGTTTTCTCTACGTATTCTGAAACAGAATTGGAATGTACTTTAAGGTAAGATTGCCTGATTACCTGATGAAATGACATTATGTAATGATATTTATAATCTAATTCCTTAGCCATCTGCAAATGCCTCAGTAGGAACTATTCTAGTATTAAACTGTATTGGCGATATAGGAGTTACATGGTGTGTGTGTGTGTGTGTGTGTGTGTGTGTATGTGTATGTTTCTGGAAAGCATTTGACTTTGGAAATTCATGCCTCAGTAGTGATTGTTCTCATATGTGGTGTCTTTTACCATTGTGTTCAGAATGTATTTTCCATCTAATAGTAACCAGATAGTTAATTTGAAACTCACTATATTTTCTTAATCTTTTTGTTCACTTTATTTTTTTTGGTATTTTTATTTATTTTTTAAAATATATTTTTATTGATTTTACACAGAGAGGAATTGAGAGGGATAGAGAGTTAGAAACGTGTCGATGAGAGAGAAACATCGACCAGATGCCTCTTGCACACCCCCCACTGGATATGTGCACGCAACCAATATACATGCCCTTGACCAGAATTGAACCCGGGACCCCTCAGTCCGCAGGCTGACACTCTATCCACTGAGCCAAACTGATCTCGGCCTTTTTGTTCACTTTAAAGTTTTTATTTTATTATGTTTGTTGTTGAAAGAATTACAGATATCCCCCATTTTTCTTTATTAAGATTTTAATCTTTGAGTTAGACTAAAGTTGCATAACTTTTCTTTCTTATAAAAATAACAAAATATAGAATAGGGAAACTGAGGAAATGAGGTATTATAATAAACATCTGGTGTAAAATTAAATTATATAATACATAAACTGGACATATAAAAGTAGAATTATTTACTTATTTCAAAAATCAAGAAAATGTTATACATTTCTGTTTTAAGCAAACTATAGCCATTGCCTGATAACTCATTTACATTATTATATGTCACTTTTAATTTTTATGTCTATTCAAATTAGCTTGTCCCTTGGTGTGAAAGATCAGTGTTGTGCCTTCAGTCAGATTATGAACTTTTAAAATTTTTTGTATTGATAAAACTGAAAATAGAACCCACTTTAAGAGCACTCTATTCTTTTCAGGTTATTATAAGGAATATTATCTTGTGTGTTATTGCTATCAAGCCAAATGTGTTGAAAGAGGTAGTAAATATTTTAATATGTTTTGGTAATTATGTGCTTAATTTAGAGTAACCAAATTAATTGTGTTTTTATATTAAAAATTAAATGTTCTTGTATTAGTCTGCTCTTGTAAAATTTCTTTAAAGGTGTTGATTTTACTCTTAGCTTTTTTTCCATTTGTGATTTGGAGTTTTCAAATATTCGTGTGTGTGTGTATATATATATATATATATATATATATATATATATTGTATATATATATGTGTGTGTGTGTGTGTGTGTGTATAGGTAATATGCAAAGTGTCCCCTCAGGAGTTCGACCAGAAGACTGCAAGTTCAATTGCTCATTATGACGTGTGCTGACCACTAGGGGGGCAGCACAAAATGAAGGAAGGCCCTGGTCGGCAGCCGGGGAAAGAAGGCTTGGGCAGGCAGCCAGAGGACCCAATTGTCCCTGATCACCAGCCAGATCTAGGGACTCTACCTGTGCAAGAATTTCATGCACCAGGCCTCTAGTGATGATAATGATTTCTGATGTGCAGTAATGATTTTCATTTTTTTACATTACACCTCCATTTCCCCAAATTAGGCACATACAGAGTTGCAAGGAAAGCTGAAAAATGTGGTCTCCAGCTCGGTGGACAGACATTGTTACAAATGCTTACTGACCAGTGCCATTTCAACTTTGCTGTTTGTTATACCAGTAACCTCCACTTAGCCTCTGATGGTTAGTGATAAACACCTGGCCTGTGCAAGTCTAGAATCTTGTCATCTTCATTGATACTAAGGAGCCCTGGTTTTTTGGCAGCCCTCTCTACCACTAAAACTGACCTGTAGAGGCAGTTACCATTGAATTACTCAACACTGTCTCACTAGTGTGTGCCTTATTGCTTAGTGTTCTGGGTCCTTCCAGGAACATAGCCATCTGGTGGATAGTCTAGTGACTAGTCTTATGTTAGAAATCCATTTTAGCATGCCTCTTTGGGATAACATTCAATTGTCTGTGTAGTCCCACTCCTCCACCCCTGGCCCTTGGCAGCCACTGACCTGATTTCTGGCCCTGTAGCTTTACCCTTCAGAATGTCATATAAATAGCTCATTTGCCTTAGCAAAATGTCTTTGAGATGCATGCGTGCTTTGTACATACCAGCAGTATGTACAGGCCTTTTTATTTCTGAGTAGCATTTCTATTTCAATTTTCAAATTTTCAAAAAGATAAATTTACAGGATCATCTCTATGCATACATAAGTGATAATGATGCAACACTTTGGATAATCTTATCACATTTGCAGCAAGTAGGAAGTAATTGGTTCTACTAGTATATTCCACATGTGGCCATGTGTCAGAACATTTAGCTTCAGTCAGGCTGCATGTTTGGGGAGATTTTACAAGTGGCTATACTGGCTAGAACCCCAGTAACAGTTATAGGACTTTATTTTTTCTTCAAGGGCCTAACTAACTTAGCTAATATATTTGCAGTTTGCATTTTCTCTTTGGGTTCTGGGTGGTGATCTTAACTTTTATGGACTCTCTGGACAAATATTAAATAAGTAAGTAGCTCTTAAGCATTGAGAGAGATGACTAACCCCCATCTGATAAATAGCTGTGGTTTTTAGGCCCAGGATTTGGAAAGATCAATGTGTTTTATGGAGATCCTGTGGTCAGAAGACAAACAATATGCTCTAGTTTAAATATTTTATTCTATTATACTACAGTCTACTTTTATGTTCTAAGTCTGAGAAAAGTAGCATAACTCATTATTTAGATGTACTTGGGAGACTTACATTTATAATAACAAATAACAGCAGTTTTAAATTTAAATGATGAATATATGATTTTGATTTTATTTTCTAGAAATAGTCAAATGCTTGATGAAGATGATATAGTGAATGAAACACCAGAATTATCCTTGGTTAATTTGCCTGATGAGACAACTGGTGCCCCACAGCTGGAAGGAAGCACAGAAATAGCGACAACCCAGACTTCTACCACAAATAGTGTGGTGAGAAATTTAAGATCTCATCCATTTATAACCTGCCCCTTAAATTTTTTCAAGGAGAGAAAAGACAACTGAAATTAGGCACAACACTTCAAGTAATAGAGATCATGAATGTCTTTGAGAAATCTGACTAATTCACTCCATAATTGCAGATGGATTTTTTTAATGGTAGCTTTCTGCAAAATAAAAAATTTACAACTTTATTAAGGGAGCATGCTTATGTTTGGTAATTAATAAAATACGTGACTTTTTAGTCTTCCGCAGGTGAAAGTTCAGACATCAGTAAGCAGCAGTCCAATCCTGCCCAGAGGAAGAGAATCCTTCCAGCGTGGATGTTAACAGATCTGGGTGACCAAAACCTCCCAGCACCAGTTACCAGTGGAAGTAGGTTTTGTTTCCAGCAGACATTAATCAGAACTTGAAAGTTTTTCTGAACAAATGAACATAGCTTAACAGTTTTTTAGATGTGTACATGAAGTCTAACTTCGAACATTAACTATTATGCCATTTATCAAACATCCTGCTAATTATTTTTTTATTTAACATGCGCTAGACTTACCATATTAACAGGTTTTTAAACAAACCTGGGCTGGCGTGTCTAAGATAAAAGGCCAGCACAATAAGGGCTTTATAAATTAATATAACTTTTAAAAAGTGTTAGGCACAGGATGTTATGTGCTGGAAGATTTAAAGAAGAGGTGACCTCTGTCCTAGGATAGCTCACTGTCCTGGCAAATACTATAATGATTTATATCATCTGCTGGGTATTCCCATTGGATTTAAGATTATTAAAAAGGTTTTATCTTATTTAGTCAATGTTTTATTTGCAACTTTTCAGTCATCTCAAGATCAGTTTCTTTTGTTTGTTTTCTTTTTTAAAATATTTTATTGGGTTTTTACAGAGAGGAAGAGAGAGGGATAGAGAGTCAGAAACATCGATGAGAGAGAAACATGGATCAGCTGCCTCTTGCACACCCCCAGTGGGGATGTGCCTGCAACCAAGGTACATGCCCTTGACCGGAATCGAACCTGGGACCTTTCAGTCCCCAGCCCAACGCTCTATCCATTGAGCCAGACCGGTCTCGGCTCTTTTGTTTGTTTTCTTTTACATGGGTTACATTTTCCTTTTATTCCATTCTTGTGACTTTCTGTTGGAAATTGGATGTTATAAATGATGTAGAGCTTTTGATTTTATGTTCCTCTGAATAGGTATTCTTGTTCTAATAGACAATTAATTTGGCCTGATAGGCAATTTTCTTCGAATACACAGTTAATGCAAACCCTAAATTCTGTTTTCCCTTGTGTGGACAGCAGTTACAGTCTCTGCTTAGTTCTCTCAGCTTTCAGCTGCTGCTTTTTCTCTGCCTTCCAGGGCTTTCCCCAGGCCATGTAGTGAGCAAAGGATTTGGGTTGATTTTATTTTGGTTCTTGGTTTTCTGTTGGTTTCTTCCTTTTAGGATTTTATCCCTAATTTCCTTCCTGCTCCTCATGCCTCACACTCTGTCCTCTGAACAGGTAAGCCAATAAGGCTGCAGCCTTCTGCTACCTGTGAATTGGGAGATGCTCTCAGGAAAGAGACAAATTTCACAAACCTCACAGGTTGTAGTGAGTTTTCCAAGCTTAGATTCTTCTCTACTTTTGCCTTTTGGTCACTCTCCAGTGTCTTTAGATAGTGGCTTTTATATATTTTGTCCAAAATGTATAATGGTTTTGTTTGGGATGATTAATAAAATAATAGCACAATTGTATATTTATTTTAATTGATTTATTACTCTTACTGTTTTTAATATTCAGCATAGTGGTCTCACAAGTTTTCTAAAGTTTTTGATCAAGTATGTTGTGGACAGCATAACGCTAGTTTGGATTGTAGTAGGTTCAGAGGAGTGATAGGGCAATAATTAATAAATAATCCTATATAATAAAGAATTAATATTGCTAATTAGACCAAACAGCTGAACAACCATCTGGATGACCTTCCAGATGACCATTTGGATGACCTTCTGGACAAAACCAGGGCTGCAATGACTGAGCCCCTTGCATGAATTTTGTGCATTGGCCCTCTAGTACAGTAATAAACTCTGTTTTTGTACTCACAACTGTAAACCTGCTTTTGCCTCATGCTGTATTTATTTTATTTCCAGCAATATTGCTAAATGATCTAATTAATTATAATAGTTTTTTTTAACCCCTTGAATTTCCCAGCTGTGTAATCATATTTATAGAATTATGACATTTTGGCTCTTTTTTTTTTTTTAATTGTGTTTATTGTTGTAAGTATTACAGATATCCCTCTTTCCCCCCCATTGACTCCCTCAATTCCACACCTCTCCCTCAACCTAGGCCTTCACTGCAGTTTTCTGTGTGCATGAGTTATGCATATAAGTTCTTGCTACTCCACTCTCCTTCCCTCTGAAATTCATCAGTCTGTTCCATGCTTCTATGACACTTCTGGCTCTTTCTATCTATCTATTGCTTCTTAAAATTTTCTGACCTTATTTCATACACTATAACCTGTAAATTTTAAGTAAAAATGGGTAAAATTGATTCCTGTTTCTTATTCTGATTTTAATAGGAATTCTGTTAGTTTTTCAGCATTTAATAGGATTAGGATTGATTCTGGTACTCTTATATTTAGGATATGTGTGTGTGTTTCCCCCCCAGGAATAACTGTTGAATTCTCTGGTCATTTTTTCAGTATAGACATAGTCTTGCATTTTCATATGTTAATGTAATTAATGATATTGGTAGATTTTCCAATGTTGTACCATGCTGTGTTCCTGGAATAAGCTCAGTTTATCATAATGGCTTATTATTTTTATACTCTGTTAGATTAGATTTGCTAATATTTAGTTTAGAACATTTGTATCTATACTCTCAAGTATGGTTTGTATTTTCCCCCCCACATATGCCAACTATGTTAGATTCTGGAGTTGAGCTATATTAGCATTCACTTAAAATGAATTAGAAGTTTTTCCATATATGCTCAAGGACAGTTTGAGTAACAGAACTATCTGTTTCTTTTCCAATTTGATTTTAGAGAGAGGAAGAGAGAGAAAACAAACAAACAAACATTCACCGATTGTTTCACCCATTTATGCATTCATTGGTTGACTCTTTTTTTTTTTTTTTTTTTTTTTTTTTTCATTATTTCTCTTTATTTTCTTTCTTTTTTTTTTTTTTATGTTTTTATTGTTCATATTATTACAAATGTTCCTTTTTTCCCCCCCCACGATTGCTCTCCTCCACCAGGTTCCCACCCCACCCTCTGCCCTTTCCCCTCTCCCCATTGTCCTCATCCATAGGTGCACAGTTTATGTTCAGTCTCTTCCCATGTCCCTCTCTCCCCTTTTCCCCAAGAATCGTCAATTCACTCCCCTTCCATACCTCTGATTCTATTATATTCAATAGTTAATATTGTTCATCAGATTTTTTTAATTTCCTTGGTTTTTAGATTCACTTGTTGATAGTTATGTATTTGTTGTTCATAATTTTTATCTTTGTTTACTTTCTCTTCTGAAAGAACCCCCTTCAGCAATTCATATAATTCTGGTTTGGCGGTGATGAACTCCTTTAGCTTTTTTTTATTAGTGAAGCTCTTTATCTGGCCTTCGATTCTGAGTGATAGCTTTGCTGGGTAGATTATTTTTGGCTGTAGGTTCTTGCTATTCATCACCTTGAATATTTCTTGCCATTCCCTTTTGGCCTGCATGGTTTCTGTTGAGAAGTCAGCTGACAATCGTATAGGTGCTCCTTTATAGATTACTACCTTCTTTGCTCTTGCTTCTTTTAATATTCTCTCTTTGTCTTTTGCTCTTGGAATTTTAATAATGATGTGTCTCGGTGTGGTCCTCTTTGGATTCCTTTTGTTTGGGGTTCTATGCGCTTCCTGGACTTGTAAGTCTAATTCTTTCACCAGGTGGGGGAAGTTTTCTGTCACTATTTCTTTCAGTATATTTTCGATATCTTGCTCTCTCTCATCTTCTGGGACCCCAATAATTCTGATGTTGGTTCGCTTGAAGTTGTCCCAGAGGTTTCTTACATTATCTTCAATTTTCTGGATTCTCTTGCCTTCTAGCTTCTGTGGAGGAGTGTCTTCTGGCTCTTTATGTTTCAAATCTTTGACTTGATTTTTGTGATCTTCCCTTCTGTTTTTAGGACTCTGTAAAATATTTTTTATTTCAGACAATGTATTCTTTATTTCTTGTTGATCCCTTATCATTTCTCGATGACTCCTTATTAATTCTAGTTGATCTCTTTTCATATCCTCATAGGCCTTATCCATCTTTTCTAGGAAATTCTTGAAAAACCTTATAAGCGTAGATTTGAACTCTATATTCAGATGCTTTTTATCCTCCATTTCTTTCGTTTGTGATCTATTTTGTTGTCGCATTTCGCAGTTACAGATGGGACGGGGTTTCAGGGTGGAGCCTGCAGCTTTGGCTTCCATCAGCCCCGCCCTATGCGGGTCCTTCAGTGCTCGCTGCCGGCGCCTCTGAGAGAAAGGTGCCCTCGATTTTCGCCTGCTGCCAAACAGTCTGTGCTCTCCCACAATGAGCCCGGTATTGGGGTTCAGTTCAGTTGGTAGTGGGATTGGAAGTGGCGTTCAGAGCAGTCTGGAGCCCCTGTCTCCTTCCCGTCAGGGCAATCCCGCGGCACAGCCGACTGTCCCTTCTCTGCGCGCAGTGTGCGCACCGCTGGGACCTCCTTTCGCCACTTCCCCGGGGTTCCGCCTTACAGCCCGGCTCCCTATGGCTGAGCCTGAGTCCACGGGGTCTGGCTTAAAACCGGGGATCAGAGCAGTCGGGGGCCCAGCACAGTCGGAGTTTTATCTCCTTTCCGCTCGGGAACGCCTGCCAGGCACTCGGCCTCCCTCCTCTCCGGCTCTGTCCTCTCCGCGCGCCCCGTCTCTGTACCTTGGTTTTTCCAGCTCCTCCGCACCTCCTTCTGGTTTTCTCCTTGCTTCTCACTGTAGAATTTCCAGTCAGTCAACCTTCCTCTAGTTCTGGGAAATGTCCATTTTATATTTTAGTTGTATTTTATTGAAATTGTTGTGTGCGGCTGCGGCTAGGTGTTCACCTGGGCGCAGCCATCTTGGATCTCTCCATTGGTTGACTCTTGCATGTGCCCTGACTAGGGATCAAATCTACAAATACTGACATGTAGGAATGATGCTCTAACAACTGAGGTACCCAGCCAGGGCTAAATATAGATATTTTTAAATTTAGAATTTTATGTACATATTAGAGGCCCAGTGCATGAATTCATGCACCAGTGGGGTCCCTTGGCCTGGCCTGTGGGATTGGGCCAAAACCAGACCTCCAACATCCTTCACGGGGTCCTGGGTTGCAAGAGGGTGCAGGCCAGGCTGAGGGACCCCATCAGTGCACGGTTGGGGCTGGGGAGGGACATGGGAAGTTGGCCAGCTGGGGAGGAACCATGGGAGGGCTCTAGGGTCTGTATGTCTTATCTTGTTCAGTCTCGATTGGCCAGACCCCAGCAGCAAGCTAACCTACCAGTCAGAGTGTCTGCCCCCTGGTGGTCAGTGCACATCCTAGCGAGCAGTTGAGTAGCCTTAGCATATCATTAGTATATTACAGTTTGATTGGTTGAATGGTTGACTGGCCAACCAGACATGTAGCATATTAGGCTTTTATTATATAAGACTAGAGGCCCAGTGCATGAAATTTGTGCATGGGGGGTGTGTCCCTCAGCTCAGCCTGCACCCTCTCCAATCTGGGACCCCTTGAGGGATGTCTGATTGCCCATTTAGGCTCAATCCGGGTAGGATGGAGTCTGCCCTCATTAGCATCTTAATTTTGCTAACTCCAGGACTGGAGCTCTTAGCTATAGTTTGCTTAATACTTTTTGAGATTTGCAAATAAGTGTTTTCAAGTTGACATTACCATAATGGAACTTTAATTTTACTAGCTTCTTCATCCTTTTTCTTTCTTTCTTTGTTATTGTTTTGTTTTTTTGTGTGTGTTTTTTGGGGGCATTGAATATTGACATTGGAAGATATAGGAGATAATTTTTTCTCCTTTTTCTTTGTGTATGTGTTTAAGATAATGTAAACTGGAAAAGTGGAAGAGAAGGTGTCTGCAAAAATAAAACCCAAGAAAACATAACACAGCAAGGAAGAAAGAGATTGATTTTACCAGGAAGCTCAGAAAGTATATCAGCAGAGCAAGACACAGGAAAAAAATGCAGAAATGCTGATCAGGAAGAGTCTATCATTTCATCCAAGGTGATTAAAAAATAATTATCTCATTGTTTTCTTAATTGTTCTATATAGCAATTAATTATATGTTGTATACAGCAAGGAAAAAACAAAATTGCTTCTTACTAATGAGTTTATGAAGTTTACAAAAAGAAAAACTAACTCTTATTTTGCTGGCTTGCTGACACTAGCCTTTAGTATAGTATTTGCATTGTAGAAAACCAAGTTATTTAGAAATTTTCAGACTGGGAAAAAGTTAAAGTCCATCTGAATGTGGTTATAATTGGAACCTCCATTATTAAAAACTGGCTTGTTATATTGGTTATTCTCAAATGGCATGTAACCACTTTTTTCTTTTCTTTTTTTTGTTTTGTTTAGTTTGTTAATTCTCACACAAGGATATTTTTCAGTTGATTTTTAGAGAGAGTGGAAGGGAAAGGGAGAAACATAGAGAGAAAGGTTGGTGTGAGAGAGACGTACCAATTCATTGCCTCCCACACATGCCCTGACCAGGGCCCAGGATCGAGCCTGAAACTGAGGTACACATCCTTGACCAGAATCTAACCCAGGACCATTCAGTCCGAGGGCCAACACTCTATTCACTGAGCCGAACTGGCTTAGGGCAAACCACCTTTTTCTTGATGAGTATCAGAGAACAACAAATGGGCTAATTCTTAATAGCCTGTTGCAGGATTACTTTTAGGCTAACTTCCAGTATTTATAAACCTTCTCTTTCAGTTTTTGCTAACTTACTAAGTTTGGCTAATTTAGGCATTCTTTAGCACTGAGTACTTAAAGAAAGTTAGGCCTATATTGGATGCATATACAGGAGAGAAAGAAAAAAAAGAAGAAAAAAAGATATCCCTGGAGCAGAAAGGTCAGATATTCTTCCTCTTGGTGGAAGGGGTGGCTTCAGATATGGTTTTCATGATCCTAGAGTGTAGACCTATTGCTGAGCTCTGTGGTCCTCATCTTTTTAGTCTCAACGAGAGCCAAAGGATAGGATTGGTTTTAGGATAGTGTGCACTGGAGTGATTGAAAGGCCAGTAGCCTTCCCGAGGGTCAGGTCTTTCATAATACTCTCATTCCTGCCTCGTCTCCAGCTTCCCACTGGATCCTTCTTTCAGCTAGAGAGGTGGGGTCTAATAACTATAGCCCGAACCCCTTGCTTGCTTTTGGAGTCAAGTTTAAGAAATGAAAACAAAATGTTTTCTGACTCAGTGTATTGCCCATAAAAGCTTATAAGGTAAAACTTATTTACTTTGAGACCTAACATGCTCTACTATCTGAACATATTATTATAACTGACTTTATTTTCGAAGAAGAGAAGTTTATTTTTTTCAGAATAAAATCTATAATATACATGTTTACTATGTTATTTCAACCCATCAGTTTGATGATCACAAGTACAACTTACACAAAAACCTTTTTAACTGATAGATTTGTGAGATTTTGATGACATCAAAGTAGCATTCATCAAAATGAATGAGCTCTATCTGGCCAATTTCTTTTTCTTATCTTAGGTTTTGTGAGTGAGATCAGCTCTTATAGCACAGGAGAAACAGGGTTCAAGGTTTCATTACCTTTTCATAACCTTTCATGCAGGGCTTTCTGATAAAACTGGGTCAGAGATGAGGACTTAGACTGAGACCCAAGACCTTTCTAAGCCCCACTCTCCATTCCCACCCAATTTCACTTTAACACTGGCTTGAAGCTGGTCCTGAAGGATGTCTTCAGTGCAGAAGCAGGTGAGAGGGAAAGTTACAAAAGAGTGAAAACTGGAGGTGGGGGCTGCCTGTTCATACTGTAATGGCATGAGATTGCCAATTATGTGGGGCTAAGAACAGTTTGGCCAGGCCTGCAGAGTAGACTTGGGTCAGTTCACTTGGGAAGAATCAGTCACATTTTCCTGGGAAAGAGAGAGAAAGGAGGAAGAGAAAAGGGGCAGAAATCACCTTTCCCCACTGGGCTCTACTCCTGAGATTCTGATTCAGTTGTGTGGCCTGCACATCAGTATTATGTTAAGTAAACATTTTCAATTTTAATGTGCAACAAGGTTGAGAGCTACTGATGTACCATCATTCAATACCTTGGAGGTAACTGGGCACAAGAGCACATTGCTAGAGAACAAAGGTCTCAAACACAGGTCTTTTCATTTTGGGTACAATGGATTTCTCTACCATACATATGAGACTGTCTGCAAGAGCTTTGTGGCTCTATAACTTCTGATAATGCAGAGAATTGCTCTGAAATAATTCATTTTTCATCAGTTTCCTTATGTCACCCCTTACCAGTTATGTAATTATCTAACTGGGGAGTGAAATGAGGGTACTTGAATTTACGAACTTTAAAATAAATAATAGTATGTCCTATACACAGTCTAATTAGGATTGGGTTGTAAATGACAGAAGGAAGCCTAACTGAATCAACATAAGCAAAATAAAGTGTATCAGCTGTCTATTGTTGGGAAATAAATTACCCCAGCGCTTAGTTGCTTAGCACAACAATGATTTATTATCTCTTATCATTCTGTGGGCTGGTTCAGCTCAGCAAGGCAATTCTTTTATGACACAATTTTAGTGTCAGCTTGACTGCATTGAGCTGGCAGCTCAGCTGAGGCTAGAGCATCCATGGTGGCTTCACTCTCAGGAATGGTGCCCCAGCAAGGATTGATGGAATGACTGGGGGCTGGCTGGGCCTCCTTCCACTTAACTGTTAAGTAGTCTAAACTGAGAATCTGTGCCTGACAGAGTGAAAGAAGAAGCTTTCAGGTCTCTGAAGGCCTAGAACTGGAACTGGTACATGATCATTCTGCAGCAATCTTTTGCTCAGAAGAAGATACCACTTAGATTCAGGGGAAGATTAGACTCCACTTGTCCAGTGGAATGATTTATAGAGAAGGTATGGGCGTGATTATTGGCAGCCATCTTTGATGATTGTATCCCACACAAAGATACAGGAATTATTCAATTTCCAGAATGGGAAGAAAAACAGCAGGAACTATAGATCATAGGGACCAGCCAGAGACTTGATCAAATCAGGTTGGTCTATTGTTTTCTTATTTGTGCTTCTTGAATTTTCTTTATTGCTATTGACAGGCTTTTTTCACATGGTCTACAACATGGTCACAGGTAGCTTTAGGCTCATGTTATCCAAATTTTTAAGTTAAGAGGAAAACAAAACAAAACACAAGCATGTCTTGTCTCTGTGGTTGCTTTAGTATTAAATTATAGGAACTTGGATAATGGAATCTCCATTTTGACCATTCATAGTGGTCAGAAAGATGAGGCAGTGTTACCCCTTTCTCAGTCATTTGATAATGAATGGAGGAAGAGGTCTAGGAAGAAATGAATGATGTACATTATACTTTTTAAAAATACTTAGTTAGATTTGGATAAATTCAGAGAGCAGGAAAACAACTGGTAGTTTTCTTAGGTTGGGTTGAGATAAACCTAATAAATGAGGAGGCTGGAAATGGTGGGAACATTGGGGTATACCCTGGGCAGGGGTAGGAAAGACTGTTAACCTCTTTTGAAGGAGGTATTTGAGTTAGGTGTTGAAAGATGGCTGGCCTGTTAGCAAGTTGTTTTGGAAAGGAGGAGTAATGTCAGTGAAGGCATAGTTGCTGAGCAGAGGTGCAGATGCAGGGAAGTGTATGATCCATTGATGTCTATCTACACTGCAGTGTCTTGTGTGTGTGTGCATGGATGTGTGTGTGGATATGCATGGGCAAGAGTAGAAGAGGAAGCTACAGAACAAATCAGGGTGAAAGCTAGATAGTACATGAAAACTTCAGATGGTTGAGGAATGGGAAGGGCAAGTTAATCAACTATTTTAATTTCCTTAATAATGCATTCCAGTTGCCTCCAAGCACCAAGGTCACTTTCCATGAGCTCCATGCTCCTCCATCCCTCCATGCCCTACAGTGTAGGGCATCCGTCCTCTCTATAATGAATCTCTAGCCTCCCATACTTCATTCTTTATATTTTCATCCAATCTAAGAAATAAGCAATGTGGGTATTTTATAAAATATGGAACTTTCCGCCTTTCCCCTACTTCTTCCAAGTACAGAGAACCTTCCATTTTTCCTGTTCCCTCAGTTGCTAATTCACTTACTCTGGCTCATGAGCTTTGTAATTGGCACAGTGCAAATTTATGTCTCAGCAAACTTACAAATTACTGCATATAATGGATTTTGGGGATCATTTATAAATAATTGAAACCATGATTGTTAAATTCTTAAATGCCAAGGGTCTATTGGATATCAATATTTCATGGAGTTCCATAAAGAACATTATGAATTCTAGTTTCTGTGACTCTTAAAATGGTATATTTGACCCATAGAATTGATATCTGTGACTTTATAACTTCTCTTTTACAATAAATTAACGTGTTAAACATATTTCTTGTAAAATATTTAAAAATAAAACAAATCCTTCCTTATATTTCATGGAAGTAGAGGGAGTTGAAATATGATGCCAAACATTTCATGACTTATATTTCATTTTCTTTTATATGTTTTTTATTTTTACTCCAACACACAAGATGGCTGCCCCCATGTGGTCAAAGTAATACCTACTTGTGAAAAAAACACTACCACTAACAGAGTATTCAGAAGCATGTAGAATAAAACATATATATTATATATTGAATTGTCTTATCCTTCAGTCCCATTATCTTACAAATATTTTGATTTGTATCCTAAACCTTTTCATTTAGAGTTATACAACTAAGTACACACATAGCTATATAGGGATTTTTTTTTTTTAAGCTAACTGGGATCATGGTACTATGTATATTGTTATTGTTTAATTAAAAAAAAAAAGCCTTGCCTGGTAGCTTAGTTGGTTAGAGTATCATCCCCATGTGCCAAGATTTCAGGTTTGATCCCCAGTCAGGGCACATATAAGAATCAACCAATGAGGGCATAAATAAGTGGAACAAGAAATTGATATCTCTCTTTCTCTCTTTCCTCTATCCCCCTCTTCTCTTTCATTTCTCTCTTTATATAAATTTTATACACACACACACACACTGAGTGGCCAGATTATTATCTCTAAGTGCATAATAATCTGGCCACTCAGTGTGTGTGTGTGTATGTGTGCGCGTACGCCTGGTGCATCAATTCATGCATGGGTGGGGTCCGGCTAGCCTGGCCAGGAGGATGGGACATGGGCAGTTGGCCGGCCTGCCTGCTGGTCAAACACCTGGTCAAGGGGACAATTTGCATATTAGCCATTTATTATATAGGATATACACTGAGTGGCCAGATTATTATGATCTATGAACTCATAATAACCTGGCCACTCAGTGTATATATATACTGTGTATATAATATATATATATATATATATATATATATATATATATATATATATATATATATATATATTATATACACAGTGTTTTATAGTAAGAATGCATTCTAATTTATTTAACTTCTTCCCTTAGCAATACCCTTTTTTCAGATGTTGAGTGGGACTCCCCCTCCCCACATTGTCCTATAACTGTTGCTGAGGCCCAAAGCTGGGACAACACTACTGAGTATTTCATGTTTGAAAGGAGCCTCCAATAGTGAAAGCCAGACCTTTCCCGTGGGGCTTGTTGAAAGGCATTCACTGACCCACCTTTAAGCTGTATACAAAAAGAACCGAGAGACAAGGCTTTACGATTTGGGGGAGTGCTATGTTTGTGTAGAGGTTTTTCTGCCTTTCTAAAATTAAGAGTAGATGGGGCTCTGAGAGAATTACTTGTGGAGTTTAGATATACCAACAGGAAGAAGAGAATGGCATTTACTTAGACACTGGCTTAGCCAGTGGATTTGTGGCCTACCTACCCAATTAGTACCTGCATAGGCAGAAAAGCAACCTGTGAGAGTTGACCTGGTGGGAGACTGCCCAGTGGGGAGGTGGCCCAGGATTGTCTTAGTCTCTGGCGTGTGTTGGTTGGTCCTGCAGCAGAGGGAGATGAGAAGGGGGTGTAGTTGAGTAGCTTAGGAGAAAAGAGTTTATGGTTTAGAAGAATGGTATGTCACCAGCGGGAGGTTTGCTCTAAGAGGTAGCCAATGATTGCTTTTCCAATAGTTATTATAAGAAACATTATAAGAATTAGGTTCCATTTATAAATTGTTAAGTCAGTTTAGATAATATTTTAAAATTACTTTCTGTATTATTTAAAAAAAGAAAAGTATTAAAATTTGTCCAAAAGAAGCCATGTTATTTGTCCAAAAGAAGCCATGTTAATAATATCTTCTCAAGAAATTGGAACTGTTAGGCATTAAGTAATATAAAAATCAGCTTTTTCCAGATGCAGCCAGTATACATGAGTCCTCAGTTATACATGGGGGTGAATATTCATATGTATCTAGTATGTTGTCATCACTTCCTAGAAATGGTTCCCAGGAGGACTGGGGTGTATCTGAAAAGTGTTTTCACTCCAAAGAAAGTATTAGTCAGTAAGCGGTCATCTGTAATAGCATAGGACCAGGTTTACTCTTTGTGCTGGCAATAAGTACAAATAAAAAAGGTCCGATAGTGTTAATGAGAATACTTAGCTGGTTCACAACCCTTCTAATTGGTTAAACTGAAACTTTTATTCAGATCATGCCAGAGGAATCATGTTTATTTTCTGAGCTGGCCATAACATAGCTTCATGTAAATTTATCTGTGAGGGAGGAGTAATTTCATTATTCAGTTATAGGGAAAAATCATGATATTTAGATGGGAGAAATGAAGTATTGCAGTAACTTACAAGAAATTATAAGGACTGTGCATGTTAAGAATGAAACACATTGTTGAGCAGAAAATTTAAGAGATTAGTAGGCTTTTTGAGAAAGATTGTATTCAAATGAAATCAAATGTATTTGCTTATGCTTCATTTCTATTTTTTCTGGTTATCTTTTATGGAATGTTTGACATGATTGGAATGGTTGGTCCAGCTATAAATTCTTTTCTAATAACTATGTTTTTTTAAGTTATTAACTAGAGACATAGAAAATGGTATTTTTAATAATTCTGAATGAAATATTAAAAATTTAAAAATATATATATTGCATGAATCTTGTAGTGCCATGCTTTTATGCTTAACTTTACATATTCTTTTTTACATTTTTTTCTGATTTGTTTTTTAGGAAATGCCACAATCAGTTTCTGCAATCATATTAAGTAACACAGATGTGAATAATAAGAAGACTAATGCACTGAGAAGTGAAATCCCAACAGAGGAACTTGGTAAGGTTTCTGAAGATGAAATCATCACCAAAGGAACACGAAATAAAGAAGAGACTGTGAGCTGTTCTGAGAGTTGTTCGAGTGCCCAAGGCAAATCTTCCCATGGGGAGTCTCAAGGATCTTGTCCTGGGCCTACCTCTGATCCCTCCAACCCTGCAACTCTGCATGCAAAAGCAGCCGATCTAGTTCTACAAGGTTCTGAAGAAACTGAGGTCAAGAGAACATCCTGCATGTATGGAGCAAACTGCTACAGGTAAAATGAAATTACAGGTAGCTATAATTCCATTATTTCAATGGCATGTAGCTATGTAGATATACGTTATCATGTATTAAAAGTCTACTAAAACTCATTGGCCTAAACTTTTTAAAGTGGGGGCCAGATCACGGTCCCCCAGAGAGCTGGAGGGCCAGACTATATGAACTACTAATTCCTACTGTAACACCTCGGCTGCACTCACTGCCCAAAAAACCTGGTGGGCCGGATCAGACTCCTCTGCGGGCCGCATGTGGCCCGAGGGCCGTAGTTTGAAGACCCCTGGAGATTAGGAGCTTTTTCATGTATCTACTTGGTTTATACTTTCTCAGTGTGCATTCTTACAAATCCTGCTATAAGATTTTAAAAATGAAATTTTTCATATTATATGTAGACGTGCTGGTTAATGCAAGGATTTGAACTGGGGATTCCGGGTTTGAAAATTGAATCATTCAGACCCAGATATTTGCTTATTTAGTGTCTTATTGAGATATTAGAAAGATAGCTTCATAAATAGTTGTGTTCATTATAACTATCAAGATAATTTTAGGTTTTGTTTAGGCATCTTATTATACTTGTGCATTTTCCTCTATATTTTTTTAATGGTCCTTTTGAATCATCATGATGCCTTCTAAAACAACTGAATGTATATTTTCTGGATTAATTGGTTACTTCTATACTTACCTCACTTGATTGCACTATATTTTCTAATTTCATTTATTAAAATTAATATCCCTTAGTTTTAGGCTGTAGTTTGATCTATAACGTTTATACTAGAGTGTTTATAATTAAGTAATACTATTTCAGAAGTATTTCTTTGTGATTCCAACTTGTGAAACCAATATATCCCAGTAGAGTTTGATTTCTCTGCAATAGTGTGCATATATCACACTAATATTATTTCGTTAAAGTACCTTGCCATTCTAGCACTTGAATAACAATATTTTTCAATTTCAGCAGTTAGAATTTATGCATTTATTCACAATTTTGTCTGTTTTAAAAAAGTTTTAGTTCCACAGATGGAACATAATTTATAAACTTGTAGAATATTTCTTACCTTTTAAGAATATTTGGTGTCCCTTGGGATTCCATATGAATTTCTCTAAGAAATGCCATTGGGATTGTGATAGGAATTGCATTATATCTGTAGATTGCTTTGGGTAGTGTTGACATCTTAACAGCATTAACTCTTCCATTCTACAAATATGGGATATCTTTACATTTATTTGTGTCTTCTTTAATAAAAATTAAATCAGTGTACAAATCTTTCAGCTTCTGATTAAGTTTATTTTTAACTGTTTTATTTTTAAAATGATGTTGTAAGTGAAATTGATTTTAACATTTCTTTTGGGATTGCTTATTATGAATGTATAGAAACAGAACTTTATTTTTTATCCTGCAGCTTTGCTTAATTAGTGTATTCTAAATGGTTTTTGTAGAATCTTTAGAGTTTTCTGCATATGTAGAAAATGCATAAACATGTACACCAAAAATATAATGTTCATGGCAGTGTTATTTATAAAAGCCAATAACTTGAATGAACCCAAGGGTCTATGAATAGTAGAATGGACAAATAAATTGTAGCAACTTCATACAATGGAATGTTACACAATAATGAAAATATACTACTACTATATCCAATAATATAGAGTAATCATGTGAACATAAAAAGTCACTCTCAAATAAGTATATACTAAATTCTTCAATTTAAATTCAAGAACAGGGAAAACTAATGTGTTGTTTTATAACATCACTTCTCAAAGTATGGTCAAGAGACTCCTGAGAAGTCCTGGTTTCCAGGAAGCTTTTAGGAAATCTATAAGGATAAAACCATTTTCATAATGATACTAAGATTTTGTGGGTTTGCCTTTTTCACTCTAATTCTCTTACTCACAGATGTACAGCAGAGTTTTCCAGAGGCTACATGATCTGCATTACTGTTAGTGATTGGATATAAAAGCAGATCTGAGAATCCAGATGCCCTCCATTATGATTGAGCCAGACATTAAATACATTTTAAAAGTTTGAAACAGTGTCTCCATGAATTTTGGGAAGGTAGAATTATTTACATTAAGACATGTTATTTATGATTTATAATAATAAAAGCATAATATTATAATTAGACCATATGTCCTTCTAAGCAACCTCTGGACCAAGCCGGGGATGTGATGGAAGCCCAGGTCCCAGATGCTGGAATAAAGCCCGGGTCCTAGGTGCCAGAGGGAAGCCAGTGCCAGCAGCTCGAGGAAGGAAGGCCTACTATTGAACAAATTTCATGCATCTGGCCTCTACTCATCATAATAAAAGGCTAAAATGCAAATGGTCACCATGCCGTGATGCCATAACGCTGTGACACTGTGACATCTTAAGGACCAATCAGAAGGGACTTGAGGCAGCATAGCACCGGGCCAAGGCCATGCCCCCTGAGGCTGTGCCCCTGCTCTGGTGGCAGGGCCGGGGGACCTGAGGCCACACCCCCTGAGGCTGCACCCCCCCTGAGGCTGTGCCACTCACTCCAGCCCCAGGGCCAGGGACCTGAGGCCCTGGTGCAAGGATGTGAGGCTGCATCTCCCGCCTTGTGAGGCTTGATGGGGGTGAGGCCTGCTGGGTCTTGGTGTTGCCCAATGGGTGTGGGGCTGGCTGGACACTTCTATTATAGAGATAGGGCAAATAGCAATATCAAAATATTTCCTCTAATTCCTTTTTAATGTGCATGAATTTCGTGCACCAGGCCACTAGTAATAAGTAAAGTTGTTTAAATATATCTTTTAAATTTCTTATTTTTTATTTCTAACAGAATAAACAACTACATAAACAAAAGCTCTCTGGAGTTTTAGTAAATTTTTCTTGCAACCAAAAAATTTGAGATACACTATTTTCTATGATAGGATAGTGTCTACTTTTGGGTAAGAAAATGGGTTTAATGATTAGAAGGAGACCTGTGGAAACTTCTAGAATGTTGGTAATGGTCTGTTTGTTTTTTTTTGTTTTTGTTTTTTAAATCTTAGCAGAGTGCCTTAGTGTGCTCATTAAAAGTACTTAAACACTTGTACTTTTATCTGTAAAGTAATATCAATTGACATACATGGCTTAGCATATTTCACTAGAAATTAATTTTGTTACCATGGAGAATTCTGTATTGAATACGTGATGAGTTTTGTTTTTAACAATGTAGCATATTAGTTCACATTCTGGAATAATCAGATGTGTGTTGCTTCGCTTCCTGCCATATCCTATTATTTTTTAGTATATCTAGAAATTTTGCATATTCTATTAGTTATTTTTTTCTCTCACTATATATTTGTAACCCTTATAGGAAGAATCCTGTTCATTTCCAACATTTCAGCCACCCTGGTGATAGTGATTATGGAGGTGTACAAGTCATGTGTCAAGATGTAGCTGATGACCGGCCTGAATGCCCTTATGGAGAATCTTGTTATAGGTATGGAAATCTTGTAGGTTTGGTTGTGCTTCCTGTTCTCCTTAATTTCTGTTATTTATTCATTTATGCCTGCAGTTTCTCCATCTCAAGTCTTTAACTTTTAGTTTTAAACTCCCATAGAAAGTAGGGAGTCTTCTAATAAGTAGGATTACAGTATTTCTTTTAGATAATTCTAAATTGTTGTTAACCTTATAAATATCTGAAATTTTCCTCATTTCTAACTTTAAAAATGCAAATCATATGATTTAAAAGTGGTTGATGCTATCCCATCGTACACTCTTATCCAGGCTCCTTAGTGTGACACAAATCAATTTTCTATCCTTTTATTTTTAATCTCTGTCTTTATATTTAAAGCATGTATCTTACAAATAGCATATAATTGGTTTCATGGTCTTATTTTTTTTATCCAGTCTGATAGTCTCTACCTTTTAAATGTAATGCTTAGTCCAATTACATTTAATACAATTACTGATATATTTCAGTTTAATTTTGTCTTTTACTATTTGTTTTCTATTTCTCACATAAAGTCTTTGTTCCTTTAGTCTTCTTTTCCTGTTTCTTTTGGACTTAGCCAACTGTTTTTCATTCTATTTTTCTTCTTCATTTATTTTTTTAGTTATATACTAGAGGCCAAGTGCATGAATTTATGCACAGGAGGGGTCCCTCTGGGTGGCCTGCAGGGATCAGGCTGAAACCCACAGTCCAATGCCACCTGCAGTTCCTACCTGCTGCTCCTGCCCATCCCAGCCCTATTGTGCCTGCCTCCCACAACAGCACTCAACCAGCCATGAGCCCTTCATCTGGCGCCCTCTTAAGGGGAGTGGCCTGCGGGATTGGATCTGGCTGAAACAGGCTCTCTGACATCCCCCAAAGAGGCCCAGATTACAGAGGGCGCAGGCCAGGCTGAGGGACCTCATTGGTGCACGATTGGGTCAGAGAGGGACTATGGGTGGGCAGGCTCCAGGGTGTGTCCTGCCCATCTTGCTTAGTCCCCATCAGCCAAACCCCAGCAGCAAGCTATCCTACCGATCGGAGTGTTAAATTAAACATTAAATTTAGAATGCATATACACTAAAATGATTGGGATGAATTTTCAACCAGTTTAATGTAAAAATGTGAAGTCTTGAATTTAGAAAACCTTAACAGGTGTTATACATATGAAGATGTTGGTGCCTTCATGTTTCTCAGAAGCCAGCGCCCAACTTTTCAATTTTTTATTTCATTGTACCTTTTAAGAGGGATGAGGTAAGGAAGTGTATCAGTCATCAACTATAAGTGCTCTCATTCTAATGAATCTGTAACATGATCTGTACAGAGTGAAAGAACAGGGTTTTGCCACAAGCAATAAATCATTTAAATGTATATTTGATAATAAGTAAATTTATGATATCTTGTTTTTGCTGATTCAGGTTTACAGCTATGACATAAAATATTTTATTTTTCCAAAATGTTTTAAGTTATTGCAATATTATCTTAACTGATAATGTACGCAAGTATACATTTCAAATTATAAGATACTGACTTTTAGAAGCCATTTAATAAAAAATAGGAACCTGTATTTAGTATAAATCTATATTATATAATTTAAGGCAAAATGAATAGATTTTATTACAGAAACACTATATATAGTTGCCTGGTAGTTGAAATTCCCAGAATTAGTTATGTGAGATTATCAATCATTTTATTTGTAGTTGAGCAGAATCAAAGTTGATAGTATCTTTTAATGCATTTTTATAGGACCTGCAGTTAGAGAAAGTAACCTATCATCATTTGCCATCTTATAGTTCCTTAATCATGTATAAGAATATGGTCTTAGAAGAAAAGTATTTTAGACTAAATGTTGATCATTTGCTACACAGTTTTACATAATACTTGACTATAATTTTTTAAAAATTTATTTATAAATAGCAGTAACACCATCAATTATCTTCATATAGCCTTGACAAAATATGGCTTCTATGGTATTTTTCTTCTCTCTCTTTTTTTTTTTTTTTTTGAATATATGTTCATTTTAATAATAAATTTGTTTTTCTTTGTTATGTTCAGTATTAATTGCAAATATATAAGAATTTGCAGATTTCTTTTGGCATAAGTAGCAAATTATAATTACTTCCAGTTACCAAATTGACTACTTTCTATTAATTTATACTGGTTTATTCTTTTATTATTTAATAAAGACCATATTTATTCTTTTTTTCTTCTAAATTTTGAGACTTAGATATTTGATAACATAGAATTCATGTTTTTGCATTAGGTTTTAAAATAAGTGTTGGGATTTTTAAAATGCAAGGTAAATTATTTTGGAATGAAAACAAAAAGATAGTATGATCATTTATTCATTGAGCAAATATTGAACACCTAATCTGCTAGTCACTATTTTAGACGGTTGATGTAAAACAGTACTTCCGGTTCATTTAAATTTTGGAGTGTTAAGTTTTGATATTAAATTACCACATGTTTGGAAGTAAGCAAAAAGAAAAATTACTATTCTGTTCTCATTATTGTTGCCTATTTAATCTTTAGGTAGCTCTTTATAATGGAGAGATATGGGTTTTAAAATCAGCAGACGTGCCGAAACCAGTTTGGCTCAGTGGATAGAGCATCAGCCTGTGGACTGAAGGGTCCCGGGTTCGATTCCGGTCAAGGGCATGTACCTTGGTTGCGGGCACATCCCCAGTAGGAGGTGTGCAAGAGGCAGCTGATCGATGAATCTCTCTCATCGATGTTTCTAACTCTATCTCTCTCCCTTCCTCTCTGTAAAAACTCAATAAAATATATTAAAAAAAAATTTTCTTTAAAAAAAATAAAATCAGCAGATGTAAAATTCTAGTTATGGTTATGTCGGTTCTATGGTATAACTTCAATCTCTTTGAGCCTCGGTTCCTCATAAAAACATGGAAAATAGAGGTTGGGTCATTTATGCTTAGAGTTCTCCATCAATGGTGGAGAAATTGAGAGCAGAGAGCAATTTATTCATATTTATACAGTCAGATCATTATATTCTCAGCTACTTTTTGTAGGCTTCTTTGCTGTTTCCTCTTCCTTTTTTTCTCCCTGTGATTATTGCAGAGCCAGAGGACTCAGTTCTCTGATCTCATCCATTCTCTATTCTACCCTTATTCCCTGGGTGAGCTAATTGAACTTAATGGCACCAGACTCATGTTTGAATGTCCCCACTTGGTTGTAAATAGGTAGTTCACACCACATCTGAAACAGAACTCTTGATTTCCATCAGGAAAGCAATGCATTCGCAAGTGTGCTCGTCTTTGTCAATGACTTCACCTTAACAGAATATTGAGGCCCCAAACCAAGAAGCACCCTTGCTTCTTTTCTTTTCTTCACTCCACTCTTCCAGGCCATCAACAGTTCTTGCCATTTCAACCTTTAAAACCATAACCACTTCTTACTTTCTCTGTCTCTATCATCTTAGTCATAACCTCTTTCCTGGGGTATATCCCTTTCCTTCCTTTGCTTTTCTGTAGTTTGTTTTCCGAGTAGTAACTAGAGGAATTTTCTAAAAACAAGTCATGTAATGTTTTCTTACTTAATACCTTCCGGTAGCTTCCTTCAAAACTCTTTACCATGTCTCACAAGTTCTCTGACTTGATTTCCTTATATTTTCCTTCTCATTCATTCCCCTTGAGCTATACAGACCTTTCTGTGTTTTTCCACCTGCCCTAGCTTGTTTCTATGTTAGCCTTAAAGCAAATTTAAAGACTTTTTAAAAATTACCTTTTCCTGAAGTGTTCTTCCTTCAACTATGTATTGTTATTCATATACCTATATCATTAAAATCAGAAATGTTTTAGAAAATGTATATTTTAAAATGTAACAGCTCACAAAAACCTGGGGTGGTTATGGGTGTATGGTTTTTGTTTAGAACCCGAAGATTACTGTTAATAATTAGTAACAATGCAAACACACACACACACACACACACACACACACACACACACACACATACACACACGTGCGCGCACGCGCAAAACCATACAGGATTTTGAGGCCTGCTGAGTTATAGAAAATGCCATTTGTGAACAAGGTTGATATAAATCTTTTATGAATGAACTCTGAGTATTTCTATTCATTATTAGGAACAAGTCCTGAATGGAATTTAAAATCATCCTGGAGAGTTATTACAAATGCTCATATGTCTCCAAAGAACCCTACAGAATATGAAAAAGGCATTCTGCCTTATTAACTGGTTTTTGAGAATGGATATATATAGGAAAATGTTAGAAAATATTCTATAAGTGTGTGAAATGTGTTTGGGGACATATTCAGCCATAATAATTGTATGTATTGTTGAAGGCAAAACTTAGCTATGTAGTATTACTTGGCAATTACTTTTGCTGGCAAGTTTTCAGATATTGTTGGCTATCTTAAAGTAAAATTAATTTCTCTTTCTATAAAAATAGCTGACACTTGTAAAATGCTTAATAGCCTACAAATGTTAATACACATTACTTCATTAACTCTTGGAACAACCTTGTGTGAAGTAGGCACTATTATCCCTGCTTACAGAGGAGGAAGTGGAGACTTGGTTCATAGGAGTTACCCTGAATCCCATAACCTGTAGCAGTGCCATTTGAATTCAGACTTACCGTATTTTTCGGACCATAAGACGCACTTTTTCCCCCCCCAGAAGTGGGGGGAAAAAGTCCCTGCGTCTTATGGTCCAAATATAGCCTACACATATACTTTAAAAAAAAAGTTTTTTTACTTGCCCGGCTCTGTGTGGTCTCTGTGTGCTTGCCCGGCTCTAAAATGGTTCTAAATGCTGCTGTTTACTTTACAGGGTTGATTACATGTGTTTATGACTGTGATGTTGGGTTTTAATGCACATAAAATATTTTAGGACACTATTTGTTTCAGAATCTTTTTTTCTTCATTTCCCTTCTCTAAAAACTGGTGCGTCTTATGGTCTGGTGCGTCTTATGGTCCGAAAAATACGGTAGGTCTTCTGATCCTGAAACCAGAGTCCCTTGCACAACATACTGTTCAAGTTGAACAAGCCAGATGAGAACAGGTCCAAGACACAGTGGCATATCTCTTGGAAGCATCTGGGAAGACCTCTGTGTTCCTTGTTCCCCTGAGTGATGGATGGACTATAGCTAATGTCTTATGATGCTGAGCAGTTGGTAGCCAGGAACCTGATTGCAGTGGAATCTGCTTACTGTGACTGTCAGATTTTTCTTTGGACTCAGAAGAACCTTAAAAGTATCTTTTAGGTATTACCCAACACACACACACACACACACACACACACACACACACATTTTATATTGTGTTATATATTTTATATACTATTTTACATTATATTTTTATATATGTAACATATGACATTGACATTTTAAAAATAAAATATATTTTACTTTAGGAATATGATACATTTTGTTTGTCTCATGCTGTCTTTCTCTAGAGTATATAAGTCATGAGGAAAGAACTTTGGTTCACCACTCTATCTTTTCATCTAGAAATATGCCTGGCATCAGTAAATGTTGAAATCAAAAAGCAAATGCTGTGTACAGCATGGTGAGTGTAGTTAATAAGGAAAAGCAAGTGCTTTTCAAAGAGAGGCTTATTGGGGTCTAATTGTCTGTGTGAGTTGGTGAGTGTTCTAGTTTTAATTAAAATAGTCATTAATTTTTAGTGACTGGAAAACTAGATCTTACTTCTGATTTCTTTTCTTTCTTTTTCTTCAGGAAGAATCCTCAGCACAAGGTAGAATATAGACATAGTACACTTTCAAGTAAGTAATTTTTCTTCAGGTAACTCAAAATGAAACCTTTACTGAATCCCTATTAAACATACATACAGTTTGTAGTTATTATGAATTTTTTCCAAAACCTCACCTGTGAATTTGTCAAATTGCTAATTTTAATGATTTTTATTCAATAAAAATATAAGTATTTATGCAGCAAATATTTTCTACAATTATTGTGTAACAATATATATTTCTCCTTGCGTCTATTAGGATTTTTTTCTTTGTAAGTACCTGAAAACAAAATTTCAAATTAGTCTAAACAGTACAGAGATCTTGCTCACTTCTATAATTGCAAAGTTCAAATATAGGACTAGATTTGGACATAATTTATGTTTTGGCTCACTAATATTGTTAATAATGTCACCAGTGACCCAATCTCCTTCCACCATTCTGTCTTTAAAGGGGTTTATATTATCCTAAGACTGACTTTTCTTCTCATCCTTATTCAGCTGGGATGATAAGTACCCACTTCTACATCTAAGGAGAGAGGGAAAGAGAATTGACAACTTTGACTCTCTCTATTCTAAAAAAAAAAATCATAAAATTCACTTTTTTTTTTTTTTTTTACTAGCTTAGATCACATTATTTCTCTTGACCATTCACTATGCCATTGATTAGTTTGTACCAACCTTGGAACCAGAATAGAGTCACCTCCTTCAGAACCACAGAGATCCCTAATAGAAACTAAAATTTGGGGGGAAAGAGAAGAAACAGGAATAGACACTAGACAAGCAACTATTACTGTCCCTCAGTCCTATTTACATCAGCCTGTTTGACCTTCTATTTCCCCTCCTTCTGAACTGAAATATTTTTCCCTTTTAGCAAATTCTAGCTTATTTGTATCATTGGCAGAAGCCAGTTCAGTGCACAATATCTCTGCCCACAGAGTGAGAGAATAAAATGCATACTTTCAGGCTATGCCTATGTGTATCTGTATAAACACAATCTACTTGTAATCTAGTGATAAAAATAATTTCACCATTGGGGATTCCATTAGATGTTTCTGGCTGAAACATACTTTAGTGTTTTACTACTCCAGACACCAGTATACTTATTTTATCTGAGGAAATATGTATGGAGATTATATGTTTTACTATTTTTACTGAGGCTGTATCTAACGATGTAGCATTTATGATTGTTAACTTCTTTTCTAGCAATAATGTAATAATCTTGATTAAAATTATATTTTATTGATGAAGTTTAGCATTTTTCTATGAAAGAAGTATTTGACACATCTGTGTATCTTCACAGAAATAAGAACCATTTTCCTAAACACTATCAATATGTATTATATGGCATCATTAAAAATATGTGAATTTTCTTTGCAAAATCTCTTTGAAGTAAAAATATTTTTACTTCATTAGAAAGATTTTTTTTAAAAAATTATAGATAATATTAAGCAACATTTAGCCTTATGTTTTTAATGCACTTTCAAAGGCTCTGTGGCAGCATAATTAGAATATCTCTTCCTATTCCAAAACCTACAAATTAAAGTATCTGGAGTATTTCAAATATTAATTTAAGTACTCAGGTCTCATATATTTAAGTTTATTGATATCAGACAGAATTATAACCTACTTGTTTTCTTATTTCCTAAATCTTTAAAGTTTAACATTACCCAAGATCTTACTCTCATTTATATAATGTTCATTTACTCACATATTTATTTATTTATTATATGTCTAATAAGTGGGCAAAGTTACAGAGAGACAGAAAAACCAGCACTGAGGTGACATGTTTGTGGTGAGATGCTCCAAAACCTGGGGTTATCAGGGTACACCAGAGGTGGGAGTTTTAAATTAATGTGGTCTTTAATTTAAGGTGGTAGGATTTCAGTCATCTTTGTTTCTTGGCCTGTGGTGGGTGGGTTTAGGACATCCCAGACAAAGTGAATAATAGATCAATCAAGGACATCAAGGTAGAAAAAGGTAAGTTGTGTTCGGAGTTAGCAAGATTTCCCTCAGGAAACCAAGGCGATTCTTACGCTAATGAGAATTGTGCAGCTTATTATGTAGCTCCTTTTTAGCTTTGGCTACCAAGAAACTTGATGCTCAAGTTATAACAATTATGTTAAAAATTGAGATTGACATATATTTTAAGATTCTATTTGTATTTGTATTTTTTAAATCATCTCTATTATAAGCTATTATCAAATCCTCTGGAATGAGTAGTGATATTAAGAAAAATATAAATATCTATTTCATGTGAACTGTAGGAAGACATTAACTAAAGCATATGTAAAAGCATAGACATTAATATTTCTTACCCATACATTTGCTTTTAACTACAGGGATTGTCCTCTGCTATTCAGAAGATTTCCAGATAGAAGCATCCTACTATATACATATTGATTTCAGAAAGGAAGGGAGGAGAAAGAGAGAAATACCAGTGATGAGAGGGAATCATTGATTGGCCTCCTGCATGCTTAAAACTGGGGTTTGAGCTTGAAACCCACGCATATTCCTTGACCAGGAATTGAACTGTGACCTCCTGGTTCATAAGTTGATGTACAACCTTGGAGCCACACTGGCTGAACCTACTTGTTTCTTAAATGCTCCATATCTTCCCAGGATTTTTTACTGCCTTACTTTAGACCAACTCTGATGCTCACTATGGAAGGAATATAAAACAGAGTGGGATAAGGGAAGAAATTAATTTGGAGACAGAAGAATCTTGTATTAAAATATTAATTAGAAATCTATAAATCCTATATGCTGTTACCATAGTAATCTTACTTGTATAATGAATTGTAGAATATCATAAATTTATAAACTAAACTTTCCAAAGTATGTAAACTTTGTATCTTCTCATTTGATTACAACCCTCATGCATCAGTCAGATTGTGCTAGGTTTGCTGTGATAATCCCCAAATTTTACTGCCGTACACAAACACGAGATATGTTTCTTCACTTCCAGCTTCGTGCTGGCTGTGGCCTCGTCCCAGCTGAGCGTTCAGGCTGGAGGATCAGCCCCTGCCTGGGACTCACTGCTCTCGCAGCCAGGGGACATCATAATAGCAAACCACAGGGGACATCCAAATAGCAGAACCACAGAAAGGCTCTGCAAGCTTCTCCTCGGAAGGCCACACACCACTTCCACCCACTTGCTTTGGCCAAGTCTGAAGTCATTGGGGATGGAGAAATATAATCATAACATAGGGAGGGGCAGTGAATAACTGGGACAGAAATACACTGTACCATCCCAAGCCTGGATATGATTACGATATTATGAAGGAGCCATTATTATGAATCTCAAAGGACATTTTAGTAGGAGCCTCATGGTAGGAAAAACTAGAAATAATAAATAACAAGTGGTCATTTTAGTCCCCTTCCTAGGAATGTGTAGTGATTAGCTAAATATTGGGTAAAGTGAATTTTTCTTGACTGAGAAGGGCATTTTACAATTAGCCATCTCTAATCCCAGGTTGAGTGGCAATTCATGTACCAAACTTCTGTTTTTCAGTCCGAAACAATGTGGATGACGATGAAGGGCAACCCAATGAGTACGACCTGAATGACAGCTTTATAGAGGATGAAGAGGAAGAGTATGAGCCCACAGATGAAGATTCTGACTGGGAACCTGGAAAGGAGGATGAAGAGAAGGAAGATATGGAAGAGCTTTTGAAAGAAGCAAAAAAATTTATGAAAAGAAAAAAGTAACTTGGTTATGCAATAATACATGGCTCACATTTACTATTTCTTTATGGAAAAATATTCAGAAACTAAGGCGGCACTTAATCAATAATTGGTTTCCTTTCTAGACTTTACTAATGACTGCAAATGAAATATTGAAACGTTAACCTTCAGTGTAGTCTATGGAGTTTTTTGTTGTTGCTGCTTTGCTTTTTCTATCCTATTTGAAGCATCTAGAAGTGGGAAGTAGACAAAGTTAAAAACAAATAGTTGATACTTTTCACGTGTTTTGTCTGCTGGTTATAAAAAGCAAAAAACCATAGGTTTTGGTCTTTTTTTTTCTTTTCTTTTTTTCTATTTTCCAAAAGATTCTGTCTTTATAGAATACTATGCAAGTATAACCTGGCAAATTACATCATGGGTGGAAAGGCATGCCTCTTTTCATTGCTATTGAAGTAATTCAAGCAGAACCAGACTTTAAAAAAAAATGACAGCCATCATATAATAGCTAGCATTTTTCTAGCATCCTAGATGCAAGCTTTGCATTTCATCGACTATTTTATTCTTTGAAACTTGGGGACATTAGTACCACATGGATACTGAAAATAGATTCCATGAGACTACAGAAATGTTCACCGCACAGGGAATGCTACTTCGTGCTCCACACCTGTGATTTACTCTGTGTCTGCGTTTAAACATAGAAAAACTTAAAGAATTTGAGTTTCTTTTTCAAATGGAAATCTTGCCTGATTACTTTAACTTTCATTGTGCTGTCTTTACATTAAGAAAATATAGAAATGATTTTTTATCATAATTTTCTCCAAGGACCTTAGTTCTTTCATCCTCAGATGAAGGTGGCAAGCTATCTGGCCTTTTATTTGTTCTCCAGTGTCATGAACTATGTCTCTGTATCTCTGTTCCCAAACTTCTTTAATAATAGTTGGGTATAGAATCTTTAATAATAGTTGGGTATATGTATTGGAAATAATAAATCACTAAACCAAGTGTCCTTGTTAAACACTAATATTTTCTATAAGAACCTAAACATTTTTTATATTAAAAGAGCAATACAGATTTGTAATGGTTTTCTTAGTGTTTTTAAATCTTTCCAAGGTAATCCTGTGAGGCCTGTTGGGTCGTGAGTTTGGGAGTGGGAGAACATTATACGGAAAGATAGGATGAACCTGCTGGTACCGCATCCTCACCCTTTACTGGAAGGAATCTTCTCACCTTCTCCTGGAGCCCCTTGGCATTCTCTGGTGGTCACCTCACCTTCAGCCATAGACACTAAATGCCTGGGTTCTCTGAGTGTCTTGGTGCTTGGACTCCTGCACCGTGTCAGCATCATTAGGGCAGCAGGTGAACAGTGTTGCTGTTCTGTGTATTGTAGTGGGGCAACGGGAAAAGCCAGAAAGTTTTCATCTTGTCGTCCTGCCCCCTGGATAAGGAAATGCTGGGTGAAGAATGTGAGCTCATTATGACTCTGAACAATCCCCATCCCAGTGCTTACTGGGAAGTCCAAAATATTTCCCAGTTGTGTCAAGGCTAGCTTAGTGGAAGTATAGCATTGTAATTCATCCCTTTTGTTTTGAAAGAGAAATTTATTGTTATAAAACTGAGATGAAGCATAAATGTGTGCCCAGCTGGAAAAACTCACCTTTCTTTGATGGTGTTGATAACGTAAGTGCTGACAGGAGAGAAAATCGTGTTGTAGGTGTGACTGATAGCCACAAAGCAATCTGCCTGCCGTTTCCTTCTTAGGTGTAACACTTGTTATTTCTGATTCATGGTTGACATCTCAAGTTGGCATCAATCATCCAGACCTACATAACCTCATACCGCCTGATGAAGGGAGGGCCCGTTTGTGACTTAGCAGATTTACTGATGTGTGAAATAAGCAAGTGTCTGGAATTAGTCTGGACATTTATGTAAACATTCCCTAGTCAAGGGTACATGTTTGTTCTCCCCAAGCTTTGTTTTTCAAACTGGCACCCTAGCTGTTGTCTCCCTAAACCAGTAAAAATCACACCCAAGACATTTCATTTTAACAACACAGAAATATCACTCGTATCAGAATGATAGTGTGAATGAAATTCCTGCAGTTCCACTCAGCATGCTATCATGCCCTGACAGCCACCTCCAGTTCACTTTAAAGGACTTCTGAAGTTTCCTGGGTGGAGGCTTCCCATTCCCGGCAAGACCATGTCCTGGAGGGGGCCTCTGGGCCCCTGTCCGGCTCTATGACCTCCAGGGTGGGCCCAGCTCCCAGCTCCCAGCCCCCAGCCAGGCCCATCAGGTGCTCCTTTGGGAAACCTGCTCAGCCTACAGACAGACAGGAGCCTCCATTGCTGAGGCCTCAGAGATGTCTCTGATGGGTCAACCTTTCTCTGAACTACCCCATGATCTATATTTATTGTCCTTTAGCTAGTCAGGATTGATCATTACATCCAGCAAAAAGAAGAAGGTTGAATTGTCACATCACACTATAAATTATTATTGAGCTATGTAATCAACACTACAGTTCTCATTTTAATTAAGGAAATGTTAGTGGTAAATTTAAATCTCACATCTTTCTTTTTCTCCCCAAAAGTCAGTAGTAGGCAGACTGAGGTAAAATGTTGAAAAGTCAGTGTTTACCTTTTTAAGACACCTCATATAATGCTGTAGCAGGAATTTCTGGCATTTTGCCAAGTAATGAGTCCAAGTTTATTCCATATGACAAGTGCTATTTCAATGCTCCCTAAGCTCTAATATGAATAGGGACTTCTTAAAAGGAAAAAGTTCTTATAGATCTTCCCACCCCAGTGTGTGGAGTGCTACATCAGCATTTATTGAGCTTATTTTTAGAGATTTAATTTATAAATTTAAACTGCCACAGTTGGAAGTAAAAAAAAAAAGTGACTAATTTATTATAAAGCATCAAATGAAAATCTATAAGTACATAGAGATACTACTAATAATGATTTTTTTAAAAAGCAAAAGTAAGAAAAAGCTGACTTTTACTAACTCCTTACTCTGGAAATTTTTAATAAACACATTCTGCCTTTGGGAAGGAACTGTATTTCATTCTCAGTAGATGAGGGAATATTTTTTTAAAAATATGTATTTATTGATTTCAGAGAGGAAGGGAGAGGGAGAGAGCAAGAAACATCAGTGATGAGAGTCATTGATTGGCTGCCTTTTGCATGCCCTCTACTGGGTGGGGATCAGGCCCAAAACCCAGCATGTGCCCTGACCAAGAATTGAACAGTGACCTCTTGGTTCATAGGCCAACACTCAACAATTGAGTCACAACTGCTGGGTAGAAATATTTTTACAGTAGAATGCCAGCTAATAAATGGAGAAGAAATGAGAGAATGAGGAAATCACCATTTTCTAACCTCATAATGTAATAATTTATTCAGGCAAGGATAATTAATAGACTGAAAAATGTCACCCCCAGATAAATTATAAATGAGAAAGCGTAACTTTACATTGGAGAGGTCAGATGTCACCTGTCGATAGTGGATGGCCTGGATTTAGATGCTTCTTAAGTAATGTTTTTGCCAAAGTTTCACTAAGTTTAATCAAGCCTTTGACCCTAACTCTCAGGAAAGAAGAAATATAGTACATAAAGGAACATGGTAAGTGACACCACAGCAAAATGTAATCAGATAAGTACAAAAATGTGAGCAGTTCTACATGATCTCTTTAAAAAGACAGTGTTCTAAAAACATAAATGAGGAACACTCTAGACTTAAAGAGAATTTAAAAAATCATAACTATTCCATGTAGTGCATGAATCTGAATCTGGTCCTTGTTTGGAAATAAACCAGCACTAAAAGATATTTTTAGGACTATTAGAGAAATTTGAATATGAATTGCATATTAGATGATGGTAGGAAATTGTTAATTTCCTGGGCTATGATTGAAGTATTTTGATTTTGAGGAAGAATATTCTTAATTGTAGATGATACAAGCTGAGGTGTTTATAGCTGAAATAGCATAATATTTGTATCTTATTTTCATTTGGTTGCATTAACTAGTATACACACAAACACAGATAATGCATATATGGCAAAAATATTAATGTTTAATTTAGGTCATGAGTATACAAGTATTCATTATACTATTATTTTAACTTTTCTGAGTGTTTGGGGGAAAAATTTAAATCTCAGAACAAAATAAAGGAAAACCTGAGGATGATTTCTTTAAAGAAGGTGATGCATAGCTCTATCCTAGTTATTCTGAAAACAAAAGAACCCTATGTTAAAAATATTGATTATTTTAAGTTGACTTCATTCTTTTAAAATTTTAATTTTGTTTATGTTTTAAAGTGCATATAATATATTAATATCATGATACGTGTAAATAGATTGTGCCAAGTATTTACATAAATACTTGATATAGGGAAATATACACGCTAAAAAATTTCTTGCTTCTGCAATGCACAATAAAAATTATTTGGAGCCGAAACCGGTTTGGCTCAGTGGATAAAGCGTTGGCCTGTGGACTGAAAGGTCCCTGGTTCGATTCCAGTCAAGGGCATGTATCTTGGTTGTGGGCACATCCCCGGTGAGAGGTGTGCAAGAGGCAGCTGGTCGATGATTCTCTTTCATCGATGTTTCTAACTCTCTATCCCTCTCTCTTCCTCTCTGTAAAAAATCAATAAAATATATTTTTAAAAAATTATTTGGAGACCACTCCTGTGTCTACCATGTCTCATGTTTCCAGGTCAACTTTTGAATGGCTACTAAGGCAGGTAGACTAACCAACCAGGCTACAGGTTTGTAGAGCAGAGAGAATTCATTCATACAAGAAGACAAGAACAGAGGTGGGGACAGCTCTCCTCTGACTCAGGGGGTTGTCTGACTACACCTTCCCTTGTCTTTTGGGTGGCCGGGACATAAAGACTCTTTCTTCTCTCACATGAACCCCAGAGCCCAAGTGCCTGGGCTACTGAGAATGGAGTTGTGTTTCTGGTCCAGGAAAGAAATTAGGATATTGGAGTGGGCAGGGGACAAGAAGAGAGCAGGGGATTGCCTGGAAGCCAGAGGTGTAATTCCTTTCCTTAAACACCCTCAACAGACTTCCCTAGCCTTCAGTAGCCTTTCCCAAATGGAATACTGATTCTGTAGGATGTTTATAGGTGAGACTCAAAAAGGAATACAATGATGAAGTTTGTGAAAAGCAAATTTGCACCATGAATCTTCAAAATGGGGTTTATATTGTAGTATTCACAATGCTGTTTCTAAAACTTATATAAACGTGACTTTTTTTCTAGAAATTCTGTTATGTTCACTCCCTCATTCAACAAATACAGCTTAGTAGCTATAACTGTGGCAAACATTGTTCTTGTCACGGTAGATGCAGAAATGAATAAGACAGTATTTTCCCCCAAATGGAGCTTATATTGAGACTAGAGGCCTGGTGCACGAATCCATGTACAGGTGGGGTCCCTCTGGGTGGCCTGCAGGGATCGGGTCAAAACCCACAGTCCAACGCTGCCTGCAGCTCCTACCTGCCTCTCTCACTCATCCTGGCCCCACTGTGCCTGCCAAGGGCTCACGCCCAATCAGCCCTGAGCAATCAACAGCCATGAGCCCTGTGTCCAGTGCCCTCACAAGGGGTGTGGCCTGCAGGACTGGCTGAAACTGGCTCTCCATCCCCAGAGGAGTCCTGGATTGTGTGAGGGCACAGGCCAGGCTGAGGGTTCCCACAAGTGCATGATCGGGCCGGGGAGGGACCACAGGAGGTCTCCAGGGCATATCTGGCCCTCTCTCACCATATGAGGATCCAGGGGAAGTGTATTCTCAACAGAGGTACAAAGGCTACAGGGCAGGAAGGAGCTTGGGGAGTTCCAGAAACACCAAGCAAGCATTGCTTTAGGTAGAATGAACAAGGTGAAGAGGAGATAGGAGGGGTGAGAGACCTCTCCCTTGGGTAGAGGTAGTCAGGAGCCAGATCATGGGACTCTTCAAAGAAGAATGAGCATTTGGGGATTTTGTAGATTGTAGACTGTGAGTTACAGTAGGTGAGCATTTGGGGTTGAGAAGGAGTGAGAAACTGAGTCAGATTTGTGTACCTGCTGAACACAAAGGGGTAAGACAGTAGGTGAGAAATGAATGACCTGTCATCTTACACTTGAGTGAGGCAAACAGGAGTGAGAGGCATGATGAAATAAATCTCATAGAAAATAATTATCTCCACTTGCAGCTGCTGACTTGGATTGCTCTGTGGGCAGCTCAGGCTTGTGGTGTCCTGAAGGAGGGGAGGAGAAAGTATTCTCAGGGGAATTCAGAGCTCTTTGGGGGTCCTTTGTTCCCACCCAAGGGCCTCTCCCAGCAAGGAAAAGGGGGGCTCCCTAGGTGTGCCATGGGAGTCTAGTTTCCATGAGTGTAGGGACTGTGTTCTCTTTTTCTCAGTGATCCTTAGCCCCGTGCTGTATAGTTGATACTCCTCAGTAAATGCTTGCTCCAGTGAAATGCATTTAGACCTTGTGACTTTAAGAAAATGAATACTCGAAAAGAATAAGTGGCTTATACTATATCCTCTGAGAGAAAGATAAATCTAGAACACAAGAATTCTTATAAATATCTCTGTCATAATCCTTACTAACACCCACATTAGTAAAAGTTAAAACACTTCAGATAAAAATAACAGACCTTGTGTTCATATTAATTAAATGTATTCTTATGTATGTGTTGATATGTATAAAAGAGATATTAAACTTATTTTTTAAAATATATTTTATTGATTTTGTACAGAGAGGAAGGGAGAGAGAGAGAGTTAGAAACATCGATGAGAGAGAGTCATCAATCAGCTGCCTCTTGCACACCCCCTACTGGGGATGTGCCCGCAACCAAGGTACATGCCCTTGACGGGAATCGAACCCGGGACCCTTCAGTCCCCAAGCAGACACTCTATCCATTGAGCCAAACCGGTCTCGGCTGAGATATTAAACTTATGAATAACACTTTGTTTGGCCAAAACCGGTTTGGCTCAGTGGATAGAGCGTCAGCCTGCAGACTGAAGGATCCCGAGTTCGATTCTGGTCAAGGGCACGTACCTTGGTTTCAGGCACATCCCCAGTGGGGGGGTGTGCAAGAGGCAGCTGATCAATGGTTCTCTGTCATCAACGTTTCTAACTCTCTATCCCTCTCTCTTCCTCTCTGTAAAAAAATCAATAAAATATATATTTTTAAAAAAAGACCTTGTTTGGTATTAGGTGTGAATGCCTTTGTATTCATTTATCAAATTATGACATTTCTATATAATTCACTTTAACTCATAAAAGTCAATTCTTTCCTGTGGCCTTCATTATGTTAAAAAAATTTTAAACTTTTCAAAATGAGATTAATCATGCCCTTTAAGTGGTTTCTTGAATTGTTGGCAGTTAGCTAATATTCCTGAACTTTTCTATACAGCTCATTAACTCCCTGTCAGACAGTAACCTCAGAAAGCATTTCTTTCATCATGATGATTAGAGAATATATATTGGGTGAAAGTAATAAAAGTATCATTGTCATTTAATTTTACTGCTGGAAGAAGCTTTCACATTTCTTGGAGACGTAACATGGGCTGTGGAAGAAATGTTGACTATAATTTGAGTCAATAATGGTTTGCTTCCTCTATTATAAGGTGCAAAGGTCCATAAAAAATACAGAAGAACATTCATCAGTAGCTAGATAATAACTTAATCTTAAAGAAATGTTCATGTATAAAAATAAAAGAATATTGACATTCTATAATATGCTTAAAATTTCCCTTTTTTTCTGAAAAACCAGAGAAAGACAAGCAAAAGGTGCAACATAAAATCTCTGCCACCCCCCAATTTCAGGTCCTATTCTGAAAGTGGTTAATTAAAGATTCAGAGTTTAGCCGAGACCAGTTTGGCTCAGTGGATGGAGCGTTGGTCTCTGGACTGAGGAGGTCCCGGGTTCGATTCCGATCAAGGGCATGTGCCTTGGTTGCGGGCACGTCCCCAATGGGGGGTGTGCAAGAGGCAGCTGATCGATGATTCTCTCTCATGGATGTTTCTGACTCTCTGTCCCTCTCTCTTTCTCTCTGTAAAAAAATCAGTAAAGATATATTTAAAAAAAAAATTCAGAGTTTAAGTGAATTCTTCAAAGTTACAGAGAAACAAATAGTAGTATTGGTGGTTCTAAGGGGATGGCAGGTGATTTAGGCCCTTTCCTCATTCATTCTATGTCAATAGCTCAAAAACTCCTTCCCAACCTACCAAGTCCCTCTGCCTTTGAAGCTGCCCCTAATTAGTAGTGGGTTCATAGTTCACCTGATGCCTGGACCAACTTTCTTATACTGAAACTTATAAACAAAACCAAGAAGTCCGATTTTTACCTCACACTTTGAATTTTTTTAAAATTTATCTTTATTGTTGAAAGTATTACAGATGTCCTCTTTGATCCCCTCCCCACCAATTGAACCCCTCCACCCTGCCCCACTCCTCCCAGCCCTTCACCAAACCGTAGTCTGTGTCCATGGATCTTGCATATATCCATTTAAGTTCCCCAGTCAATTTCTCCCCCTCCAACCCTTGCCACCTTCCCTCTTAAATTTGCTTCAGGACACTGCTATAGAACATGGACAATCAATTATGTACCTGACCGATGAATACAATTATTAGCCCTAATGGAAATCCATTGCCTTAGTGAACAGAAGGTCTTATTTGCTAGATTTGCAATTTAAAAGAAGGAGATAAATTAGTAAGGGGATAGAAGGAATGCCAGCTTGGCACCATTCTTTTGATGCTACAGTATATTTCTGAAAGAAAAGTGTCCGATTAAAGATGAAAGGACCCTGTCATGCTAATTTCAGCTGATATCCTGACTCAGAATGTCATCCCGCCCCTGTCACCACTGTCACATCTGACAGTGGGCTTAATAATTACACTTAGGCCTGTTTGCTTTTGTTGACCTTTACTGAGAAACACATTTTTGAGCTCGGGACATGAATAGAGTGCTTTGATTTGGGGGAAATAATAGGTTTGCATCATCCCCAGCAACCAGATCTGATTACCTATGATATTTCCACTTTACTTCACGAGGATGGCAGGTAGTTGAAGCCACTCTGTCATTAATCCACAACGGTGGCCCTCTGCACAAGGGTCACTCTAAAAGAGGGAATGCTTTTTTCT